ACATTAAAGGAGGAACATAGAGAAAGAATTCAGACGTGGCAGCCTTAGCGGCGGGGAATATCGGCCTACGTGTCGCATGTTGAATGGAGATGGTTTTTCATTTGCCCAGTGCGTAGATAGGCCCCTCTCTCTCTCTCTCTCTCTCTCTCTCTCCTCTCTCTCTCTCTCTCTCTCTCTCTCTCTCTCTCTCTCCTTCAGGCTCAGCCATAGTTAATATTGTTATTATTATCCACTCTGTATCTGTGTTTTCTGGCTAAATAAACTGTTTCAATTCAAATTCAATTCAATTCAATTCAATTCCCTGCCTACCTCCCACTTTCTCTCTAACTGCGTAGGTAGGTAGGCCTCTCTCTCTCTCTCTCCTCTCTCTCTCTCTCTCTCTCTCTCTCTCTCTCTCTCTCTCTCTCTCTCTCTCTCATTGCACAACGTTTTTACATAGGTTAGGTTAGGTTAGGTTAGGTTAGGTTAGATGAATTTTGTAGGAGGATAAGTTAGAGACTAGAAAGTAGTGAAATAAATATTAATGCGTAAACAGTCAGAGAGACAGACAGACAGAGACACGTTCAGGCTGCCGTTCCTCAGACAGGGTGAACAGACACACGATCATTGAGTCAATCTGTACAGTAAATCTTGTGTGAACGTACAAGGTCGTCAGGTGAACGTCTTGCACTGAAGAATGTTAAACCTGGTGTAACTTAACCTAAGTACCTAACCTACCTAATTTAACCTTACCTGGCTTTACTTAATTTAAACTAGCCTAACCTGGATTAACCTATTCTAACCAAACTAAATGTGGTCTAACAACCTGGATTAACCTATTCTAACCAAACTAAATGTGGTCTAACCTAACCCGGATTAACCTATTCTAACCAAACTAAATGTGGTCTAACCTAATCTAACCTGGATTAACCTAACCTAACCTGGATTAACCTATTCTAACCAAACTAAATGTGGTCTAACCTAGCCTAATCTAACCCTAATCTAACCCTAATTAACTAAGTTGTTGTTTGCGTCAGCTGTATGTACACACCCAAGTCTCCCTCCCCCTGGCGTCTCTTATCTCTCTCTCCTCTTATCTGCCTGAGAACGACCTTGTGGTGAGAGACGGACAGAATGACCCCAAGCTAATCATTCATCAAAAGGAGTTGCTCGTGTTTTTGGTTTTTGACTTAAGAATCTCTCAAGTTCACTTAGATTTCTCCCACGTCGTAAAAGGAGAATACGATCTCGGTAACATTTAGCAACTGATACCCCTCCCCCCTCCCACCCCTTAAAAGACACCATGGTCGGATTTCTCTTCAGTTATCATAAAAATCATATAATTATTATTTTTTAATTAATTATCTAAAAAAATAGAGTAAATAACTACCTGTAGCATAATGTCTGAGCCAGAGTGAGTGCGGGAAAAAAGAGAGCAACTATTGGTAGACTGCAATAGAGATGGAATGTTTTGATTGTCACGTGTCATCATACTAGTGGCTGCGCGTTACGGTGACGCATTTAAACCACAACGTGACATTATAGTGTTACGAGCTACCCGGTATATTGACGTGTAATAAAATCACCACGTAACACCATAGTATTGATACACTGATGTAATAAATACCATCAAGTGGCATCATGAAATTTCAAGAGTTCTAATTCCGGGGAACGTTCTCAAGCGTTTAGAAATTTGGCGCGAGTTCTCCCTACCGTCTCGTGCAATTGCAACCTCGGGAACTATGTGATTATTGGCGATTTATGAATATTAACATAGGTGAATTCGTGTAGTTTTATTCCTAGGCGGTTGTATTAATCATTAATAAACACCCATACACCACAAGTACCCAAAAATATCAAGAATTTCCCGAGCAACAGAGGGAGGTGAGGAGGCGTTCGTGGGAAATACTTAACATACCGTCTACCTTAAACAAACGCCCATACTGTATACTCCCTTCACCTCTCCCTCTCCCTCTCCTCACCTCTCCCTCCCCTCACCTCTCCCTCCCCTCCCCCCTCCCTCTCCTCCCCCGGTTTAAGGCCTTTTAAGGGTGTACTGTATATATACTGAGTCGGTTTATACAGCTGTTGTTGTGTGAAGGCTGGGACTTTACCTGAGTACGAGAGCTGGAGTTGATTAGCTGAAGTGTTTCTTGGTTGAGGCCAGAGTACAGTTGAAAAACAAATACAGAGTGCAGGTGTAGTAGGTACAGGTGTAATTACAGGTAAAATACACGTAAGAATACAGTTACAAAGACAGATTATTACAGTTACAGAATAAGGACTCATAATTGGTGAAGGTTTGGTGTAGTCATTCATATTTCAGAATTATTTTGTATTATTACTGTATTTTGGGAGGAATTTTGCTGTTGACAGGAGAAGAATTTATATACTGTTGAATTTGTGTGTGTGTGTGTGTGTGTGTGTGTGTGTGTGTGTGTGTGTGTGTGTGTGTGTGTGTGTGTGTGTGTGTGTGTGTGTGTGTGTGTGTGTGTGTGTGTGGAAGAGGGAAAGTAGGTCTGCAGTATGAGAGAGAGAGAGAGAGAGAGAAAAGAGAGGAGAGAGAGAGAGAGAGAAAAAAGAGAGAGAGAGAGAGAGAGAGAGAGAGAGAGAGAGAGAGAGAGAGATCAGCTTTAAGACACTCCCCGCCATGCACGCTGTACGAGGCACCAGACACCCCCTCCTGGCACCCCCGGCCCCTCCTCTCTCACCCCACCAACCCCCAGCCTATGGTATACCTCTGAGGGGGGTGGGCATCCGTGACGTCATAGGTAGAGAAACGCCTTTAACAGAGGTAAATATGGCTGCCACACCTGTAATTATTTTTGTCACACCTGTACTGGTTTTGTTACACCCGTATTTGGGAGTGTGCGCCGTGGCACCCAGGATTGCATAGCGTGGCACCTAGGAGTGCATAGCATGGCACCTAGGAGTGCACAATGTGGCACCTAGGAGTGCACAGCGTTGTACCTAGGAATACACGACGTGGCACCTAGGAGTGCACAGCGTGGCACCTAGGACTGCACAGCGTGGCACCTAGGAGTGCACAGCGTGGCACCTAGGAGTGCACAACGTGGCACCTAGGAGTGCACAACGTGACACCTAGGAGTGCACAACGTGGCACCTAGGAGTGCACAGCGTTGTACCTAGGAATACACGACGTGGCACCTAGGAGTGCACAACGTGACACCTAGGAGTGCACAACGTGGCACCTAGGAGTGCACAACGTGGCACCAAGGCGTGCACAACGTGGCATTTAGGAGTGCACGGCGTGGTACCTAGAAGTACACGGCGTGGCACCTAGGAGTGCACGGCGTGGTACCTAGGAGTGCACAACGTGGCACCTAGGAGTGCACGGCGTGGTACCTAGAAGTACACGGCGTGGCACCTAGGAGTGCACGGCGTGGTACCTAGGAGTGCACAACGTGGCACCTAGGAGTGCACAACGGCATTTAGGGAGTGCACGGCGTGGTACCTAGAAGTACACGGCGTGGCACCTAGGAGTGCACGGCGTGGTACCTAGGAGTGCACAACGTGGCACCTAGGAGTGCACGGCGTGGTACCTAGAAGTACACGGCGTGGCACCTAGGAGTGCACGGCGTGGTACCTAGGAGTGCACAACGTGGCACCTAGGAGTGCACAGCGTGGCAAGGTGACGTTCAGTCGGTGTCACCTTCACCCGGCATCGTCTGGTAGCCCACAAGATCACTTTACCTCAGCGTTACACAGCATAAATGTATTTTATTATTTTTGTATTTAATTTATTTGAAAAACTCAATAAAAAGAATTGTGTCTTATTTTAATAATAGTGGAGGCGAGTGGTGTACTCTTCGTTTCATTTTATTGAGCTTTTAATTACAGGAACAATAAATTTGACTGTATTTGATATATATATTTTTTTATAGTTGATGTATTTTAACGAGCGTGGACACCTGGGGGGTCAACCATTTAGCCAATATCCTGCTGGCTGCCTCACTTATCGTACCGCCCAGCCCCGCCCCTCCTCACCCCGCCGCTGTCAGACGTACGACCAGCCTGTCTGGTGGTGATGACGCTTCTCCTGCGGCAGTCTGAGGAGGTTGTTATCTTGTCTTTGACGTCAGTACAGATCCAATGGCGTGAGCTGATGTGACTATTAACTGGCCTCATACATCAACGGCTTACAGAGTACCACGAACAGTACCGTCAGGCCATTTGTTATTATTCAGGCGAGGCGAACCAACCAAAACTACCCTGAGTCCTGACAGCTCTAAACTACCTCACAGTTCGGTTGGATAAGGTCAGGTTTGAATCTTAGGTTAGATAGGGTTAAGTTAGGTCCTATATAAGATAGGTCAGAATTTTTCTTTCGTAAAATAAAATAGCTTTTGTAGTGGCGGTCGTGGTAACTTCTTCATCATTAGCCACATTGACTGGCCGACGGAGGCTCTTAGGAGGGAACAAATTTCTGTGTTGTAATGATTGTTGTAACTGTTGTTGTTGTTGTAATTGTTGTTGTTGTTGGCTGTCTCAAGTGTTTTTCTGTCGCGGTACTTGTCAGGCTGAGAAAAAAACCCACACTTCAGATGTATCATGCGTGTCTACCAACCACCTCCTCCTCCCCCTGTACTTCTTCTTATTATTATTATTATTATTATTATTATTATTATTATTCCTGTGTATTAGTGTGAGGCAGTAGTGTTATCAGTCACCTCTAAACCTACATTTACACCTAACCTAACCTAACCTAACCTAACCTAACCTAACCTAACCTAACCTAACCTAACCTAACCTAACCTAGTCCTAACCTATCCTAACCTAACCTAACCTAACCTAACCTAACCTAACCTAACCTAACCTAACCTAACCTAACCTAACCTAGTGTCTAATTTGGACGCTGTCTATCTACCTAGAATACTTTCTGTCTACCTAGGGTACTGTCTACATTGAGCACTGTCTGTTTATCAAAGACAATTTACCCCTTAACACTGAACCGTCTGTCGAGAATCATTAAGTATCGACAGTAACCCCCCCCTCGACAGCCCCCCAGTCATGGACAGTACCAGTCATGGACAGTACACCATGGACAGTACCAGTCATGAGTACCCCAGTCATGGACAGTACCCCAGTCATGGACAGCACCCCAGTCATGGACAGTACCCCAGTCATGGACAGCACAGTCATGGACAGTACTCCCAGTCATGGAACAACCCAGTGATGGACAGGAACCCCAGTGATGGACAGTACCCTCCAGTCATGGCAGTAACCCCTGTCATGGACAGTACCCCCTAGTCATGGACAGTACTCCCCAGTCATGGACAGTACCCCATCAGACAGTAATTCTAGTCATGGACAGTACCCCCAGTCATGGACAGTACCCAGTCATGGACAGTACTTCAGTCATGGACAGTACCTCCAGTCATGGACAGTACCGTCATGGAAGCACTAGTCATGGACAGTAATTTCAGTCATGGACAGTACCCCCCAGTCATGGACAGTACCTCAGTCATGGACAGTACTCTAGTCAGACATCATGGACAGTACCCCAGTCATGGATAGTACCAGTCAGGACAGTACCAGTCAGATAGCAGTCCCCAGTCATGGACAGTACCCCCAGTCATGGACAGTACCCCAGTCATGGACAGTACCTCCAGTCATGGACAGTACCCCCAGTCATGGACAGTAATTTCAGTCATGGACATCCTAGTCATGGACAGTACCCCAGTCATGGACAGTACCCCTAAGGACAGTACCCCCAGTCATGGACAGTACCCCCATCAGTCAGGACAGTACCCCCAGTCATGGACAGTGCCCCCAGTCATGGACAGTACCCCCAGTCATGGACAGTACCCCCCAGTCATGGACAGTACCCCCAGTCATGGACAGTACCCCCAGTCATGGACAGTACCCCCAGTCATGGACAGTGCCCCCAGTCATGGACAGTACCCCCAGTCATGGACAGTACCCCCAGTCATGGACAGTACCCCCAGTCATGGACAGTCCCAGTCATGGACAGTACCCCCAGTCATGGACAGTGCCCCCAGTCATGGACAGTACCCCCAGTCATGGACAGTGCCCCCAGTCATGGACAGTCCCCCCAGTCATGGACAGTACCCCGTCATGGACAGTACCCCCAGTCATGACAGTACCCCAGTCATGGACAGTACCCCCAGTCATGGACAGGACAGTACCCCCCAGTCATGGACAGTACCCCCCAGTCATGGACAGTACCCCCAGTCATGGACAGTACCCCCAGTCATGGACAGTACCCTCATGGACAGTACCCCCAGTCATGGACAGTACCCAGTCATGGACAGTGCCTCACCTTGACGTCCACATTCTCTTGCAAAAACGAGTCATGTCTCCTTCCCCCCCCTCTCCCTCCCCCTCTCCCTCCCCCTCCCCCTCCCCATTCCTCCCTCCTCCTCCTCCCGTCCTCACTGTCTGTCTGTGTCTGGCTGGTTGACGCAGTGTCTGTGTCAGGATAATGTGCCTATGTCTGGCTTATGCTGTGTCGTGTGTGTGTGTGTGTGTGTGTGTGTGTGTGTGTGTGTGTGTGTGTGTGTGTGTGTGTGTGTGTGTGGAAAGAATTATTTCTTTTACTCCAAAGTGAAATAATAATAATAAAAAAAGGTAACTTTCTGAGACAAACTAATTACCCCAGGTGTGTACAGGTGTGGGTAGGTGTGTCTCCTTATCTGTTGTTCACCTCCAAGATGAACTAGGAGGCACTGATTTATGTGTTGACGTCATGATGAAAACACTGTGTCGTTCTTGTAAGTGGATTCACAGTGACCAGGCTTACGAGCACGTCACCCTGTTCCCTCCCGCGCCTTCCTCTCATCAAACACCTTCAATCTCAAAATCTCAAAACCCTACATATTCTTTAAATCAGCCGATCAGAACCTAACCCTACCAATCTTGGCGATCTTTAAATAAATGCATCCTCCCCCCCCCCTTTTTGTTCGTGGTAGATAAAGAACATTGATTACTTTATCCAACACTGATTAGTTTACTTTAGGTCAGGTTAGGTTAGATTATTTTTTTTATTAAGGCTTCGTTTTTATTCAGTTCTTAAGCTTTAATGGTGGCTAAACGTCCATTATATATAACTAATACACTTAAATTGAATAATAATAATGATAATAATAATAATAATAATAATAATAATAATAATAATAATAATAATAATAATAATAACCAGTTGTCATCATCATCATCACCATCATACTATAATGAATCAACTGAGTTACATACGTCACTGTATCCCAGAGTACAGTAAACTTGGTACAATACAGAAAGCATTATAGTACATAATACACCTTGTCAAGTTAACCTAAATATATCCGGTTTTTAATTAAGACAAATGAATCATCCTTGAGTATAAACGTGGTTACTGTCCTGTATCTAAGACGTGGTTACTGTCCCGTATCTAAGACGTGGTTACTATCGCATATAGCTAAGACGTGGTTACTGTCCCGTATCTAAGACGTGGTTACTGTTACACGTGATTAGCTGCAGACGCTAAAGTTAGTCGTGGTTACTGTCGCATAGCTAAGACGTGGTTACTGTCGCATAGCTAAGACGTGGTTACTGTTACACGTGGTTAGCTACAAACGCTAAAGTTAGTCGTGGTTACTGTTACATGTGGTTAGTGACAGATACAAATTAGTCGTGGTTACTGTCCCATATCTAAGACGTGGTTAGAGAGTTGCACTGGGTTGCAGACATAGGTTACACGAGGGTAGAGTTACGTGGTTACAGACACAAGTTAGACGTAGTTATAGAGATGTGGGTAGTTAGACGTGGTTACTGACACCTAAGTTATACGTGGTTATAGAAACGTGGGTACTGGGTGGTTATACGTGGTTACAGAGACTTAAGAACATAAGAAAATAAGGAGTCTGCAATAGTCCGGTTGGCCTGTGCATGGCAGCTCCTGTCGAGAGTTACTACCACTCTCTATCATCCATGAATCTATCTAGCCTCCTTTTAAAACTTTCCAGCGTTCCAGCACTTACTACAAAGTTGCTAAGCTTGTTCTACTTGGTTACAGAGACCTAATTTACACGTGGTTATAGAGACGTGGGTAGTCATACGTGGTTACAGAAACGTGGGTAGTTATTCGTGGTTACAGAGACGTAGTTACAGACACAAGTTACACGTGGTTTCAGCCTGGCACCACTGCGAGCAAAATTCAATAAAGTGGCGGAGGTGAGTGGTGGTGGTGGTGGTGGGTCGCACGCGGCGGCTGTTTACAAACAACTCGTCTGAATCCTCCCTGGGTGTGGCGGAGGCGAAGCGCTCAATGTGTGTGTGTGTGTGTGTGTGTTTTTGTTCATATGGTAACGACTTAAACCGAGGTTAACGTAACGTAATGATCCGAAAGTAGTTGCTTGTTCAGGTTATGGTTGTGTTAGGTTTGAAAATATATCGTGTTTTGATACTGTTTTCCCCTCCCGCCTTCCTGGTGCAGTTCGTGGTATCTATTATTAACATTGGCCAAGTTGCCTGTGTGAAACTTTCCCTGCATCGACGAATCATTTTCAATCAATCTTTTCATTACTCCTGCCACAGTGATTGGCTCCACGAGTTGTTGACGAAGAGGAATAAATTAAATAGTTATTAAAAGAAGTAGATTCTATAGGTACATAACGATATATACAGTACATACCAACATATTGTACAGTATAAAGGGGATGGTCCAGATAGCATGTGGCAACGAAATTCAATGTTGTGGTAAGAGAGAGAGAGAGAGAGCCAACAGGTTACACCGCCTCGCTCCAGCCATATTGATTGTTGCGTCATCACCTTAGACACTGGCAGCGGCGGGCCAGGGTTGGGGGGGGAAGAAGAGGGGAGTAGAGAGAAGTGAGGGGGGTGTGTCTGGTGAGAGGGGGGGAGAGGCGACGGCAGGCGACTTGAAAGGTTCCAAAGGTACATGACTGTTTTGGCGTGGCAGGGGGGCATTATGTGTGTGTGTGGGTGATGCAAGACGTTTAAACCCATCATGTTATCTGAACGATCGACAAACAGGCCCTGAGTAGTGTTTACATCATAGGAGGACTCTATATATCTCCTGAACACTGTATAATAATAATAATAATAATAATAATACTAATAATAATTGTAGTAATGACTGATGGAGAGTCATCTTGTTAACAGTTGTCTCTGCCCACAGGATGGTGTAGCGGCGATGAACGAACACAGCGGCAGGTGGTTGGCTGGGGTGGCGGGCCGCCCTTGCCAGCCCTGCCGCACCTTCCTGCTCCTGCTGGCGCTGCTGCTGCTAGTGAGGGCCACAGCAGGTGTCACCTCGGAGCCTCAGCACGCCAGGAGTCAGGTCACGTCCCTCCAAACACACCGGGTCGTGTCCTCCTCCACAGTGCCAAGCTGCTTCGACAATACAGAATTTCATCGTGGTAAGTGTGCTTAATGACGTTCGTTTAAGACATCCAGATATATGCTTATTGACGTTCGTTTAAGACATCCAGATATATGCTTATTGACGTTCGTTTAAGACATCCAGATATATGCTTATTGACGTTCGTTTAAGACATCCAGATATATGCTTATTGACGTTCGTTTAAGACATCCAGATATATGCTTATTGACGTTCGTTTAAGACATCCAGATATATGCTTATTGACGTTCGTTTAAGACATCCAGATATATGCTTATTGACGTTCGTGTAAGACATCCAGATATATGCTTATTGACGTTCGTTTAAGACATCCAGATATATGCTTAATGACGTTCGTGTAAGACATCCAGATATATGCTTATTGACGTTCGTGTAAAACATCCAGATATATGCTTGTTGACGTTCGTGTAAGACATCCAGATATATGCTTATTGACGTTCGTTTAAGACATCCAGATATATGCTTAATGACGTTCGTGTAAGACATCCAGATATATACTTGTTGACGTTCGTGTAAGACATCCAGATATATTTGTTGCTTATGTACAGTAAATACCCGTTGGTGTTCCTGAAAGTCGCTCGGGTACCACTGAATATAGTTGTTGACGTTCTTATAATGTGCCAAGTTATATATCTGTTGATCTTCCTGTAAGGTATTTGCTGGCGTTCTTGGAAGACACCTGGGTAAGTTTTTGTAAGTTATAAGGCGTTTGTTGTTGTTCGTGTTAGGTGGTCGATTAATTATGGAGACGAAGGGCCCCGGTCTGATGTGACTGTCGCTGAGATTGTGTTAGCGGTTTAGAGAGAGAGAGCCAGAGATATGGAATGGTTTATTTAGCTAGAGTAACAGATGCAAATTGAGTAAAAACAATATTGTCACCCTAACCTAACCTAACGTAGCTCTCCAGAAGGTACCTGATAAATATTGTCAATGTATCTTAAGAAAATTATTACATAAATGAATAGGATCTTATTTGGTCAGCTGGTGTTGGCAGGTGTTAGGTTAGGTTGGGTTGGGTTGGTTAGGTTAGGTTGGGTTGGGTTGGGTTGGGTTAGGTTAGGTTAGGTTAGGTTAGGTTAGGTTAGGTTAGGTTAGGTTAGGTTAGGTTAGGTTAGGTTAGGTTAGGTTAGGTTGTGTTGGGTTGGGTTAGGTTAGGTTAGGTTAGGTTAGGTTGGGTTGGGTTGGGTTGGCTTAGGTTAGGTCGAACCACCGTGGCCCAAACATCCTACATTCATCTAGACTTAGAGCAGTGGTTCTATACCTGGAGTCCTTGTGAAACATTTTTAAAAGTTCTTTACTGACCTCAAACACAAACGATACCACAAGTACCAAGTTTAGATGACACACTTAGTTTATTAAAGAAACATAAATATAAATGACTAAGTCGCTACTGAGAAGGAGTAGGTCACTTCTCACCGATCGACAAAGCTTCACAGACTAATATTGTGTCTGTTGGCGGTAAGTAAATACAGGGGTGACCGAGACTGGGTACACGGGGTGGAAATACTCCGACTCCTGCGAGGGTAATGAAACGTAGCACAATATTTAAGTTTAATTAGATACGCTTGTTGGTTTTGCCGTCAGCATAAGTTAGTCTAGTCGTATATTTTACAAGAATTTGGCTTAGTTGTTCCACTGATCGAGTGACCAAGTGTGGCGCCGCTCCTTGCGCTTCACCCATATGTAGACAGGGGTGACTTCTCAAGACTCGCCGGGATAACCTAACCTAACCTAACCTGACCTGACCTAACCTGACCTAACCTAACCTAACCTAACCTGACCTGACCTGACCTAACCTGACCTGATCTAACCTAACCTGACCTGACCTAACCTGACCTAACCTAATCTAATATAACCTAACCTAAGAACATGGAGGAAACTGCAGCGGGCCCTTTGGTCCATACTGGGCAGTCCCGTTTACACCCAACCCCTATCCATCCAACCTATGTTTGAAGCTATCCAGCGTGTAGAGTTAATGATGATGTTTGGTAACTTGTTCCACTCATCCACTACTCTGTTTTCAAACCAGTGTTTACCTATTTCGCGCCTAAATCTAAATTGATCTAATTTAAAACCATTGTTACGAGTTCGCTCCTGATTGGATAGTTTATTGAGTACCTAACATGACTTAACCTAACCTAACCTAACCTAACCTAACCTAACCTAACCTAACCTAACCTAACCTAACCTAACCTAACCTAACCTTACCTAACCTAACCTAACCTAACCTAACCTAAACTCACCAAACTTGGCAACCTAACCTTACCTAAACCTACCCTCATCCAAAACTAACCTCCGAGGTTAAGTTATGCTAGCTTAGGTTAGATTAGGTTAGGTTATGTTAATTTAAATTATATTTTAGATTAGGTTAGGTTAGGTTAGGTTAGGTTAGGTTAGGTTAGTTTAGTTTAGTTTAGTTTAGTTTAGTTTAGTTTAGTTTAGTTTAGTTTAGTTTATATTTTAGATAAGCTTAGGTTAGGTTAGGTTATTTTAGGCTTACGTTAGGTTAGGTTAGGTTGGGTTGAGGTTAATTAATCTTAAGATGAGCTAACCTGGGGAGGGAGAGGAGGAAAATCATCAGGTAACACAGGAAATACCTGGCATGTATAAGAGGGGGTCTTGAACCTATTGCGAGACGCTGCGTGGGTAAATATGTTGAGAAAGCACCCAGTCCCCCCACACGTGCCTACACTCCCACGTCAGTATACCAGGTTTAGGAAACACCCATTAATGTGTTTGTCCACAGATAAGTATACGTATTTACCACATGTGATATACAAGTCTTTTATTGTTCATTAATGACAGCCCAGCAGGTGAGACTTAGCAAGATAAGTGAGGGGCTTCATGGTATCCGGTTAAATATAGCCGTAATGTGTCCCTCTAGAACGGATATTATAATGAAATACAACAGCGGTGCGGAATTGTCTAGGTGGAAGAACATGTCGTTATTATTATTATTATTATTATTGTTGTTGTTGTTGTTGTTGTTGTTGTTGTTGTTGTTGTTGTTGTTGTTGTTGTTGTTGTTGTTGTTGTTGTTGTTGTTGTTGTTGTTGTTGTTGTTGTTGTTGTTGTTGTTGTTGTTGATAAGTGTGCAATAACTTGATAATTAGCTGCCGTAGAGTTTGTTATCATTACCATTATTAACAGCACTTGTAGTTAAATGTATTACTTCGCTTTAATAATTAAGGTCTTTCAAAGTACATTATGTTTTACCGTTACTCGCGATGTTGTGTGGTGTGTTTACCGTTACCCGCGATGTTGAGTAATGTGTTTACTGTTACTCGCTATGTTGTGTAATGTGTTTACTGTTACTCGCTATGTTGAGTAATGTGTTTACTGTTACTCGCTATGTTGAGTAATGTGTTTACTGTTACTCGCGATGTTGTGTGACGTCTTTACTGTTACTCGCTATGTTGAGTAATGTGTTTACTGTTACTCGCTATGTTGAGTAATGTGTTTACTGTTACTCACTATGTTGAGTAATGTGTTTACTGTTACTCGCTATGTTGAGTAATGTGTTTACTGTTACTCGCTATGTTGAGTAATGTGTTTACTGTTACTCGCTATGTTGAGTAATGTGTTTACTGTTACTCGCGATGTTGTGTAATGTGTTTACTGTTACTCGCTATGTTGAGTAATGTGTTTACTGTTACTCGCGATGTTGAGTAATGTGTTTACTGTTACTCGCGATGTTGTGTAATGTGCTTCTTATCGTTACCGCGATGTTGAGTAATGTGTTTACTGTTACCTCACGATGTTGAGTAATGCCTACTGTTACCATGATGTTATGTAACGTGTTTACTGTTATCGCGATGTTGTGTAATGTGTTTACTGTTACTCGCGATGTTGTTATGTAATGTGTTTGCTGTTACTCGCGATGTTGTGTATCGTGTTTACTGTTATCACGATGTTGAGTAACGTGGCTTACTGTTACTCGTTATGTTGTGTAATGCGTGTTTACTGTTACTCGCGATGTTGTGTACGGTTTACTGTTACTCAATGATGTTGTGTAATGTGTTTACTGTTACCTTCCGTGATGTTGTGTAATGTGTTTACTGTTTACTCGCGATGTTGTGTAATGTTTACTGTTATCATGTTGTGTAATGTGGTTTACTGCGCTCGCGATAAGTGTAATGTATTACTGTTACTTCCGCGATGTTATGTAATGTGTTTACTGTTACTCACGATGTTGTGTAATGTGTTTACTGTTACTCACGATGTTGTGTAATGTGTTTACCGTTACCTCGCGATGTTGCAATGTTTAATAATTTCGCGATGTTGTGTAATGTGTTTACTGTTACTCATGATGTTGTGTAATGCGTTTATTGTTTACCGCGATGCGAGCACGTGTTTAATGTTACCGCGATAAAGGTGTAACGTGTTTACTGTTACCGCGATGTTGTGTAATGTTTACGTTACTGCGATGTTGAGTAATGTTTACTGTTACTCGCGATGTTGTGTAATGTGTTTACTCTTACTCGCGATGTTGTGTAATGTGTTTACTGTTACTCGCGATGTTGTGTAATGTGTTTACTCTTACTCGCGATGTTGTGTAATGTGTTTACTGTTACTCGCGATGTTGTGTAATGTGTTTACTGTTACTCGCGATGTTGTGTAATGTGTTTACTGTTACTCGCGATGTTGTGTAATGTGTTTACTCTTACTCGCGATGTTGTGTAATGTGTTTACTGTTACTCGCGATGTTGAGTAATGTGTTTAATGTTACTCGCGATGTTGAGTAATGTGTTTACTGTTACTCACGATGTTGTGTAATGTGTTTACTGTTACTCGCGATGTTGTGTAATGTGTTTACTGTTACTCGCGATGTTGTGTAATGTGTTTACTGTTACTCGCGATGTTGTGTGGTTTTACTTATCGGCCCTCCCCCCCACACTGACGTCATCAGACTTCCACGAATCATCCAACTCTCCTCCCACCTCGTCTTTCCTTGATTTTTTATTAACTTATTTTACGTAATTATTGTTGGTTATCTGACTTTTTATATCATCCGTTATATATATCAGCTTCACCTATTTCTCTATTTCTTGTTAGTTTTATTTGGTCTCTGTTGAAGCCTGTGTGACCTTGTGAAGCAGCCCGTCCTTACTCCCCGTCATGGTGTCTTGTCATTCCAGCACTCTCCCTCCTGACCTCTACCACTACATGTTATTCTTCATTACTTACACAGTTTATGTATGACTATGTATTATATTAGTACTGTACACCTTTACTTATTCTATTGGTGGTATCTTTCTCGCCGCGAACATTAGTTGAATTTAATTTCTTGGAATTTGTAAATGTTGAGTTGATCATAAGTCATTTGTATATTATGATCCTGTTAAAGAGTTGCATCCTAGTCTCTCTCTTGGCTCATGTCTTATAAAAAAGTGATAGGATCTAGGCAGCTGTACAATGTGTTCTTTACAATACCAGCGCCGTTTCTCTCAACCTTTCTGATGTTTTGTTACTTTCATCTTGCTCTGGGTGTGAAGGTTTCACTTGCATTTCGCAACATACGCGAGTAAGATTAATTATTCAGTCGCTTTTTCCTGACATATACAACTCCCACACGCTCTGAATTTTTTTATTGGGGCGCCTGCCATTGCCAGAAGGACTGCTGCGCCACACTGGTATTCCGGGTACAGTTTGTGTTTATATCCCCCGCCTTTCATAGCTCTCTGTTTATATACATAATACCTCATACATTTATGGACGGTTGTGTACAAAAAAAACATTGCATAATTTGTTTTTATGACTGAGGAGCACATTGGCGCCACTTCACTGTATGCGTTTTGTATATAAGATCATGAATTATTGTCTTGAGACTATAAACAGCTCGAGCTTCATGTTTGTATACACGGTGTCTTTTATATGGCGGTGGAAGAAAATGTTAAATAACAGTTTTTTATGGTTGAGGAGAATTTTGACGCCTCTTCACCAGATGTGTTTGTATGTTGGCTTTTAATTCCTTGTCCTGATGTACAGATCGTTGCTGTTTATTTACTAAATCTTTTTTATATGTTTTTACTCTGCTACCAACTGCAACCTTACCAGCAGGAGGTGAACGTCTCTGGCTGTCAGGGTGAAGCTGTTCACCGGGCACTTGGTTAGGTTGGGTTAGGTTAGGTGGAAAGAACGGATTTGAGAGGCGTTATAACAGTGAATAGTGTTAACTTTTTGTACGACTGAACAACAACAACAACAACAACAACAACAACAACAACAAGAATTATTCCTTGGCCGCAGTTTGTGTTGTGCTCACCTTAACATGTGACGTGAGATTAATGCCTGACACCAGACCCACATAGCAGGCTTAGGTTAGGAGTAATTTAGGTTAGGTTAGGCGTAATTTAGGTTAGGTTAGGCGTAATTTAGGTTAGGTTAGGAGTAATTTAGGTTAGGTTAGGAGTAACTTGGGTTAGGTTAGGTAAGGTTAGGAGTAACTTGGGTTAGGTTAGGTTAGGTTAGGTTAGGAGTAACTTGGGTTAGGTTAGGTTAGGTTAGGTTAGGAGTAATTTGGGTTTATTTACTGATTTTTCACGTTGTTTTGAGGTAAAGGGAAGAAGTATTTTTTACGTTCCTAGTTACGACAATTTAACTTACGACTTTGTGAATATGGTCCCAGTTTACCAAATTTAAGCCACTTTTTACTCCCATGAAGACGAGAAGGCAGAGTGACGTAGTGCTTTTACTGAGTTATATTTGACCTAGTTTCTGGTAGTTCTGTCTCTGTATTCCGGTGGTTCATGGGTTGCCTGACCTTACCTGATGGGCCTTGACCTAGTTTCACCTGACTAATTTGCCATGACCATATTTTATATACCTACTTTAACCGGTCTTTTAAATAATGCCACGTAAAGTTATTAACCTAACCTAATATGGCCTAACCTAAACTAACCTAATATGATCTAACCTAACCTAACCTAACTAATCTTACCTAACCTAACCTAACCTAACCCTCGAACTAAAGAAATCAGAACGTTGAGAACCATTTGATATTGGCCCAGCCTTGGTAAATATTCGCTGGTAGGGTTAATATCCAGTTTAGATATTAATTAAAGTCAATGATGATTAATTCCGTATGCAATTGACTCGTGAAGCTCTGTTCTCTTCCCGCGTTTTGACCCTCTTGACCTAACCTAATCTAGATGTTCGTCATGTTCTGTTCAAGGTTAAGATATGCGTGACTACTTTCGTTTTACTGGTTCATGTTTGTGTATGACTTTGACCGACTATGCGTGACTACTTTCGTCTAACTGGTTCATGTTTGTGTGTGACTTTGACCGACTGAGTACAAGCTGTTGTCGATAGATCATTGAAGTTCCATCAATAGTGATCTGTGGAAACTCTTCACTGTACAATGTTGGAGAACTACCACGGACGAGACTACTGACCTATGTATTTGTTTATTTGTTCTTTGTGGTGAAGAAGAGCAGGCTATAGCCAACCAATCTAACTAAACTTAACTTAACCTAATTTACCTAAACTTAACCTAGCCAAAACCTAATTTACCTAAACTTAACCAAGCCAAGACTACCGTAATTTAGACTAACCTAACGTAACCTAGCCTGCCTTAACTTAACCTCCAGCACCATAATCTCACCACACTTTTCACTTCTCCATCATTACAGAGGTCAAGCCGCAACGCCTCTATGTTGACGAGAAGGAACAGCCACTGACAATGTTGACCTCGAGCCGCGTCCCCCAACAGTTGATGACCCGTATGGTGGCGATCTTCCTGAAGGAGTTGCTTGGCTACGTCAACCTCACCATCACCACCGTACCCGACACCTTTGATCCAGGCCGAGTTATTAATGAAATGAAACCCGATAAGCAAGATAGCAGCAGCAGGTAAGAGGGTGTGTGGGGGAGACCGCGTAATGTATGTTAAAAAAGATCTACGACGAACAGGCTTACTAAAATGTTTATTTTATTTGTTGAGATCAGATGCCTTAATCCAACCAAACCTAACTTAACCCAACTTAAATAAAACTATCCTGTTGGTCGGTTGATTAAGTTAATTTTGGTTGAATAAGGTTATCTGAGAAAATAGATGTTTTAGTAATGCTGTTCTTGGTATTTTTCCAACATATACACTTTCCTGTTGTCCTCCCTCGACAATGCCTACTAATATACTAAAATACCTACTAATAAATCATAGTTTCTCGAAAGATGTGGAAAGAAACTAAATTCCTTAAAAGAATACACTAAACAATAATTTATGTTTTATAAGTGACTGTGTTTGTGTAGCTAACTTTTTGTGCTTATATTTTGATGTAGTATAATAACTCGTTTCACTTATTGCATGGCCAAACACATTTGCAATTTATTTATTATGTTTATTGTAGAAAATTGACAAATATACTGTTGTAGAGTTAGGTTTTTTTCCTCCATGTTTACTCAAGTTACCTTTGGTGAATCTGTCTTGAATGCTGTATGGTGACACCCGGAATGTTCATTGTTAAAAGGTACCACGAACAGATCCGCTCGGCCAATGTCACTTATAATTAACAACTTCAAGCACGCGATACGAACCAACAAACCTCTCCTAGTCTAACCAAATATATCAGGAGCGTTTGGTTAGGTTAAGGTTAAGTTAATTTTTTGTGTCCTCGGAGAAATTAAATATGTTCCGGGTTGTGTTCGTGGTATTTTTTTTCAACATTGCAAGTCTTGTAACATGTATACATAGTACTGTATTATATAAGGACTGTGCATGAAAGATGTTTTGTGCATGTTTTTGTTGTTGTGTCAAGGGAGGGGAGGAGCAGCTCAGAAATAGGTATAATGAACTATCTAGGAATGTTAAGAAAAATGTAAGGAAGGCAAAAAGAGACTATGAAATCAGGATAGCAAGAGAATCCAAGGCAAATCCCATTGAACAGCTACTTTTTATCAGTTTTCACAAGAAATTCACGAGGAAATTCCAGAGGTGGAACTGATATTTAGGGGAAAGGAAGAAGAGAAATTAAAAAAAATATCACTATCGGAAAAGAGGATGTTCTTAGGGGGATAAATAAATTAAAGAAGACAAAATCCCCAGGGCCGGATGAAATTTTTCCTCGAGTCTTGAAAGAGTGTAGGGAACACATTAGCGGACCCCTCGTAAATTTATTTACAGAATCATTAGACACGGGAGTTGTGTCAGACTTGTGGAAACAGGCAAATGTAGTACCCATATTCAAAAAGGGAGACAGAGCATCAGCGTCAAATTACCGGCCGATCAGTTTGACGTCAGTGTGGGGAAATTTCTTGAATCATTTATACCAAATAGCATCCGATCGCATCTAGAGAAAAGCAAATTAATCTACGACTCTCAACATAGGTTTACAAAGGGAAAATCTTGTCTAACAAATCTGCTGACGTTTTTTTGGAAAGTCTTCGAGGTAGTAGATAATGACGAAAATTACGATGTTATTTACTTAGACTTTGGCAAAGCTTTTGACAGAGTACCGCATCAGAGGCTTCTGAGAAAAGTTAAGGCTCATGGTATCGAGGGGAAAGTTTTAAATTGGATAAAATCATGGCTCACCGATAGAACGGGGCTGTGTAACTAGTGGGGTTCACCAGGGGTCAGTACTAGGCCCACTCTTGTTTATAATCTACATAAACGATCTAGATACTGGCATCAGCAGTGACATAAGCAAGTTTGCGGATGACACCAAAATAGGGCGGCAAATTAATTCAGGGCAGGATGCAAATGCACTACAGGGGGATTTGAATAAACTTCAGGAGTGGTCAGAAAAATGGCAAATGAAATTCAACACCAGCAAGTGCAGCGTACTTAATATTGGAAGAACAAATACTGTCAATGTGTACAGCCTTAACAACATCAACCTAGGAAATCAACTTGTGAAAGAGACTTAGGGGCACTTGTACGCCCTGACCTACGGCCTAGAAAACAGTGCGTTAATGTTCGAAATAAGGCAAACAGAGTATTAGGTTTTATATCTAGAAGTGTAAGCAATAAGAGTGCAGAGGTCTTATTGCAACTATATCTTGCGCTAGTCAGGCCGCACCTCGACTATGCGGTTCAGTTCTGGTGCCCTTATTATAGAATGGATATCAATTCACTGGAGTCGGTGCAGCGAAGAATGACGAAAATGATTCCGGGACTTAGAAACCTCCCATATCCAGATAGGTTAAAGAAACTAAACTTGCATTCCCTAGAAAGACGAAGAGTGCGGGGAGATATGATAGAAGTATTTAAGTGGGTGAAAGGTATCAATAAAGGGGATGTAGATAAAGTTCTTATAATATCCGAGCAGGATAGGACTCGGAGCAACGGATTTAAGTTGGATAAGTTTAGGTTTAGGAGGGAGATAGGAAGGAACTGGTTCACAAATAGGGTGGTGGACGAGTGGAACAAGCTTAGCAACTTTGTAGTAAGTGCTGGAACCCTGGAAAGTTTTAAAAGGAGGCTAGATAGATTCATGGATGATAGAGAGTGGTAGTAACTCTCGACAGGAGCTGCCATGCACAGGCCAACCGGCCACTTGCAGACTCCTTATTTTCTTATGTTCTTATGAGTCATTGATAACCTACCCCACCCTTCCTAGCCAAACCCTACCCTAAGACCACTGAACCGTCTCAACACAGTGTAGTTCTCTCTCAAGCTTGTGATCTTAATGTTGGCTTGGACTTGTTTTCGTTTCCTAAGGTTCCATGACACATTGAGGAACATCTTCAGTCTAGGAAAAGTTGACTGTTGATGTAGCCCCTAAGTAGAGATAGTCCCAAAGTGTCTAGTGAGGTAAGCCCCTGAAGCCCAGTGAGATTTGCTTTTAATGCTTGTTGGGTTGTTATTCTTAAGACTTGGCGAGGCTATAGGGAAGGCTGAGGAGGCTGGCTGGTTTTCATTGTTGCTATGGTGACTGTCAAAACGTTGGTAGCGTCACAGGAAGTAACCCACAGACGCTATAATAAACTCTATTGGCGAGTAATTTAATGACATACCTTCACACACACACACACACACACACACACACACACACACACACACACACACACACTGGGTATACCCGGGGTCGTAGGGTTAAGTTAAGATAATTTTAGCTACGGGAGACAGTGAAGTGAACCTTTGGCATCAACTTTTTTTTTTATTACACTTGAAACACTGGTAGTATTTACCGTCGTATTATTTAAGACGCAATAGTCGCGGTGGCTTAGTTGACACAGCTCTTGTCTCCTGACCTAGGGTGTCTCTGTGGCATCTCCCGAGTCCTGACCCATTAGCTGTATACCGAAAGCTTAGTAAACAGCATATTGGATCGTCTTTCACTTTTTTTTTCCCACGGAGTATGATGCTAAGTGATCATATTATCCAAGAAGATGAGAATGTTAAACCGGCTTCTGCAAGTTTTAATTAATTCTCCTCATGTTTGATACTAAATGAAACACAACTATAAGAATATATACGGTTGACTGTGTTTGACATGAGTGAAGTATCAGGTAACAGTGAGGCCTTGTTAGTGTACACCCCAGGCCATGACCATAGATGTCTCCTCAGTATGTTATTGAAAACCTACACTTGGCGCTGTTTACTTCCCAAGCCACCACTCGCCTCACGGTGCTTAAAGAGTCTTAGTGTAATAGTTGTGGATGATGAGTAAACCAGCAAAAGTGAGTCCTGAAGAAAAAAAAAGGCTTGCACGATAACTGGCAGTGGGATTGGGCAATGGCATTCTTGCCCCGCCAGCCAGCTGCGTGTGTCAGTGGTTCGCTGTATTCACCACCGTCATGACTAGCTAACAATAGCAGTTGGCTACAAAAAGCGTCAGGTGGTCGTGAGAATCTTTTGGCAGAGGAGAGGGGAACTCTTTTGTCGCGTGAGAGGTGAATCGATGGCAGGGGTTTTATGTGTAAGTTTGAGCCAAATATAGCTACCCACTCACCTAACATCCCGGAGTTGAGATCTATATACAACCCCCACGTTATCGCCGAGCCCTGCCTGTATATTATAAACCTATTAATGCCGGGTTGAAGGGTTCCACAGTGTAAACAGCCATCCAACTGTTGCGTCAGAATTATTAATGAACTCGTAAACAAGCGCATAAAACCCACTTGACATGACGTCCATTTGCATCATTCTTGGACGCCGTAACCGTAGCTTTAGCCTTAACACATCACGGAGTCTTGACGTTGACTCAGCCAACAGTGGCACGGTCTGGCCCTCTTGGTATGGGCCACAGAGCCTAGTGTTCAGCGTACATATATCCCTGGCACTGAGGCAGCTAGACTTGGCACGCTATAAGTATATGCAGTGCTATCTTTGTGTAAAACAGAGGTTTGCCAGCTGTGTGTGTGTGTGTGAGGAGATGGACGCACCTGTTGAATGGATGGGCAGGTGTTAAGGAGGGAGATGACGTTCTGGGAGGAGAATGACAAAGTTTTCTCATTGGTCGATGGTGACGTAGTACTCTGCTTGTCCTATTGTGTGTTATGATTGGGCGAAGTAGGTGTACGTCATTCCCTCAAGTTGCACATTTGACACATACTTAAGTCGATACATTCCACATGGGGTGACGTCGCCAGGCTGGGTGTGACCTGTCCCCGCGCGCTTGTGAAGAGAGTAAATTATTTGTTTTAAGACACCGGAATCAAAGAGCCAATGGTCAGGGGCGAGTTACAGAGAAGTGTACCGGGAGGGATATAATGACGTTTCTGGTGGTGAAGTCAGATGGCCTGAGGAGGATACTAAACAAGACTACCTAATTCATTGATCTACGTTAACACATACACACACAGACACACAGACACACACACACACACACACACACACACACACACACACACACACACACACACACATTTAAGAATAGAAATATGTTTAACCTTTGAGCCTTAATAAGTGATATAAATAATTATGGTACAGTTAAACGTCCGCCTGGTTGCGTTAGCTGAATTATTTTTAATTGATACAAATTTTATGTTCCTCTCTGCAGCAGTCATCGTCTCTTGCCGCTGTGTTGGAAGGGATAATTAAAGAATACTTTAGTGTACACACTTTATGACCGTGTGTGGGTCATCAAGCTCGGAAGTTGTAAACAAGATTACTCCAACCGATTGCAATGGATTTGGACGAAGCTTAGTGTGTGAATATAAAACGACAATGTTTTTTAATAATTTGATAATCGGTATTTTATGTTTCTAATGCCCCGAGTTAGGGCCACTTGGACTTTGGTGTGGCGCAACGGAGGGGGGGCGGGGGTGTCTACCTTTACTGATAAACTTGTGGCAGTGAGAGGCTAGACCACCCCAGCTTTTAATATCTCTCTATCAGTCTTACCTCACCGCCAACTATATAATGGAGTGGGAAGGAAAGGGGGAGAGGGAGAGGGGGGAAGATAAAGGGGAGAGGGGGAAGGAAAGGGGGAGAGTGAGAAAGGAAAGGGGGCAGGGAAAGGTACCTAAACTTACTAGGAACCAATCAAAATATTTAACCATAATTATATATCAAACAAAACGAAGCATATGAAGTTTTTTCTCTTGCTGACAAACTCTGACATGTTTATGAAGTTGCATCAGTAAACACCTGCAGCTGATAAGACGTATTTAGCATGAATTTGCCTGAGCATTGTTCTGTATAGAGTTAAGGAAAGAGGATTGGAAAGAATTGAAAGACCAAATAAGCATCGATGAACCTGACAGCTACTACAACAACTAGAGTATGAGGGACATGGAGCAGTGTTTATAAAGCCTTGTCGTCTACGTACAGGGTGTTTATAAAGTCCCTTGATGTATGTGTTTATAAAGTCCCTTGATGTATGTGTTTATAAAGTCCCTTGATGTATGTGTTTATAAAGTCCCTTGATGCATGTGTTTATAAAGTCCCTTGATGTATGTGTTTATAAAGTCCCATGATGTATGTGTTTATAAAGTCCCTTGATGTATGTGTTTATAAAGTCCCTTGATGTATGTGTTTATAAAGTCCCTTGATGTATGTGTTTATAAAGTCCCTTGATGTGTGTGTTTAAAGTCCCTTGATGTATGTGTTTATAAAGTCCCTTGATGTATGTGTTTATAAAGTCCCTTGATGTATGTGTTTATAAAGTCCCTTGATGTATGTGTTTATAAAGTCCCTTGATGTATGTGTCCCTTGATGTATGTGTTTATAAAGTCCCTTGATGTATGTGTTTATAAAGTCCCTTGATGTATGTGTTTATAAAGTCCCTTGATGTATGTGTTTATAAAGTCCCTTGATGTGTGTTTATAAAGTCCCTTGATGTATGTGTTTATAAAGTCCCTTAATGTATGTGTTTTATAGAGTCCCTTGATGTATGTGTTTATAAAATCCCTTGATGTATGTGTTTATAAAGTCCCTTAATGTATGTGTTTTATAGAGTCCCTTGATGTATGTGTTTATAAAGTCCCTTGATGTATGTGTTTATAAAGTCCCTTAATGTATGTGTTTTATAGAGTCCCTTAATGTTTGTGTATATAAAGTCCCTTGATGTATGTGTTTCCCGATACACACACATCAAGGGGCTTTGTAAACACCCTGTATATAACCATGTGCATGATGTAATAAAGAATGAGTGACGTCGTGAACCGGAAACATTGGTGTTTGTGTTCTTGTTACGTTGCCACCATAAGTATACTAAGAGTTGCAACGTAAACCGTATGTAAAGTTATATTAGCATCATTGATTTCATATACTGCGTTAGTTGTGCACTTAGAAATGGGCATGATGGGTACGTCAGAGTCGAGGAAGAAGTGTGGGCATGGAGACACAAGGATATGCCAACAAGAAAATGTTTTAAGTGCATTTTTTGTCTTGATGCATTTTGAAGACTGGTCACGAGTTCCCTGATCTTTCTAATGGACTTGCCACACCTAAATGATCGCGATTTTCTTGGCCTTTTTGATGGACATGCAAAAAAAAAAAATGAGCACATGAAGTGAAAAAGCTAATAAGTTACAAGCAGACAGTAGACATGAGAGCTTACTGAAGAAGACAATGGTTCATCCCACTCATTGGTTCAGCGGGCCTCTGCCGTACGTGAACTGGGGCGCCTCGCCCTTCATCTACGAGTTCTCGGTGGTCAACGGGACGCTGGTCGTGTTCGCCAAGTAAGTTACGGCGACCTTACTGATGAATGCTTGTATCTAAGAATATGGTACAAATCACCATGTGCTCTTACATGCCAATATATAAGACAATAAGTGTTCACTAGATGGCATTATATACCGTAAGTACTGAGGCTGTACAGTACCAAGTTAACAGAGAGCCGGGAGGGACGCTCTCATACAGCCCACAGTTTCCATGTATTGTTTATCATATAATAAATTGTGAGGGTAACCTAACCATGTTTAATATACTGTATAGGGATACCAGATTACACTGATAATCAAGTAGTGTTAAACTCTACCCATACCATACATGTAGGCCTAAGTGTATACAGTATTGTATACTGTATGAATCTGTGTACATTACTGGACAGGCCTATGTAATCTGTTCTTTATGCTTTAACACTTATTCAGTGTGAAATTTCAAAGTACAGTACTTTTAATTTAAAATAAATAATTGATCACCCCTAAGAAATGTAGTAAAATTATATTAATGGAATGGAATTTATTTTTTTTAACATATCATACTTAAGTCGAAAATGATAAATTATTGTAACAATGTATGAACTAAGATGTATTGTTTTATTTTACAAGATTCACAAAAGTACCGTTGACATAATTGTATAACATAATGGGTCTGTGTATGTCATCTGTGTATGTCAGTATTTCGGAAAGTAAAACATTTTGTATATTTCAGTAGAAGCAGCATGGAGGTAAGGATACCTAAAGCCATGGTGAGCCTCGAGGTGTGGATACCGCCAGGCTACAACGTGGAGTCCCTCACCACAGACTTTGAGACCAGCAGGTTTGTCTCCCCACCTCCACACACACAGCTGAAGCTTCCGGGATGTTCTTCTCTCTCACCCCATCTCTATCTTGGACTTTCTTTCTCCCTCTTACCAACCTGCCCTGCCTTAAACTATCATCAATTCTCTCAATCATCCCCAAAGTGCCAGGGAGCGTCCCCTTGAGCTGATCTAACACGTTTCTCACTTTCTTTCCTTCGTCACACCATTTTACATCTCCATATTACAGTACACTCAAAACATATTATTTATTTTGTTTCTAATATGTTCTTACCTCCTGTTTGTAGTGCTCGTTTTTCATACTCTATATTAAAAAAAAACACAGAACAGCAATAGTTGTAGTAGTAGAAACAACCGACCATGTGTGGTTTGCAGAAAGGAAAACAATTGTCGGAACCCACGTGGCAGGCAGACACAGGGAGGCCACAGTGTACAGTGACCCCTCGTTTAACGAACACCTCGGTTAACGTAATAATTTCGATTAACGAACTGCCTTCCATAAGGATCTTCAATTCGGTTAACGAAAAAAAATTCGCTTAACGAACTTCTTACGAACCGACCTCAACATGTTTTCGCTTGCACTGACCGGGCAACCAGCTTTAGTATCAGTCCGCCAATACATTAATCGGTTCTAGGGCTTAAATTCCTTACTATTTTGTAAATATCAAGAAGTTTATACTATTCAATAATTTTAAAAGTTTAATATTCAATTTTTTAGTAATTTTAACAATTATTGAACATAATTGAAGGTAAAGTGACTAGTTTAATGCGCGGCATCCAGCCTCTTAACACAGCAAACAGGCGTCAGTCTCTCTCTGTTTTCACTGGAGGTAACATCTTGCTTGAGACTCTCTTCAACTAAACGCTTTTTTTCTGTGTTTCCAAGCAAATTATTGGTCATTTTGAAATATATTTTATATATTGACAATATATAATGCAGTGCAGCGTTGATTTAAAGAAAATAATCTTGAATTAAACCAGAGAGCTAAAATTTTATGGGTGAAATGGCACCATGGGGTGACTTCTCTTCCACCCCAATGCCTTCTCTTCTTCCTTCTCCTCCACCCCCATTCTAAATCCCATCATCATCATCATCATCCAGGAGCCTTCTACATACACACCTCAAAGTAAGTGAACTTTTCTACCATTTTTGTTGAATTTAGGAAATTTTCGGTGAGCTGGAACCAATTACCCAAAAACCCATTGAAACAATGGTTTCGGTTAACGAACGTTTTAGGTTAACGAACGACCTTCTGGAGCGGTTGAGTTCGTTAACCGAGGGAACTATATCGCCCCGGGACCCAACCGCCCGATGATATCCTAAATGATAGCAGTGAGTCTACTCAACCCGAAAATATCGTACTGTACTAATAAACGCTGCTCCAATAGTAGCAGATGTCCACGAGGTGAATGAGAGACAGCTACCACAGTGGAATGGCATGTCGATGGAAAATGCGGACATATGGGTGAAAGAAACTTACTCAGAAATTGTCAGGTGGTCGCCAGCCAACCTGTTTGAACCACCCAAGTGTGCGGCCACCAAAGAAATGATTCGGGAGATGACTCGCCTCATAACCGAGTACACTCAGGACTGCTTCCTTGCCCCTTTAGCTCTTCAAATACTGGCAATAATACCACATCTATTCTGTCAGAGGACACACACAAAGACTAAGCACAAAGAAAATGTGGCAGCAATGAAGAGAAGATTGACAATGTGGCAGAATGGGGCCCTTGATGATCTCCTATATGAAGCAAGAACACTGCAGGAGAAACTAAAATTTATAGGAGACGGAAAGCAAAACACCGATGACATTGCAAGAAAGTTTGGAAACAAAATACGTGTCGGAAAAGTGTCTTTGGCGGTAAGATCTCTCACAGAGGAATCCTCTGGTGGGGTTCTGCCAATAAACAGAGAGACATTAAAACAACTGAAGTAAAAACATCCCCCTGCAAATGAAGACGAAGGCATCAGGTTCCATGGTGACTATATCCCACCAAATGCTATCCTGTTAGAGAAATAACAGGAGGGATGATGTGGAAAAAGGCACTGAAAACTCAGGGAGGGGCCGGCCCCTCAGGTCTGGATGCAAACGGTTGGAGAGTCATCCTCAGCACTAACAAGTTTGGCCCACTAGCAAGTGATTTCTGCACTGCCATTGCCGCCCTTGCAAGAAAGCTAGCAACCTAGCCATGCTCTGATGGCCTGCCGCCTCATTCCCCTGGATAAAAATCCAGGAAGTAGGCCTATAGGGGTGGGGGAAGTGCTGAGGCGGATCATCGGAAAATGCATAATGGAGGTGGTAAAGGATGATGTCAGGGCAGCAGCAGGGAACCTGCAAATTTGTGCTGGCCACCAGGCTGGAGGGGAAGCCGCCATTCATGGCATGAGAACGATATTTGAGCAGCGTAATTGTGAGCCTTTCTCCTGGTGGACGCTTCAAACGCATTCAACATACTTAACCGCAAGGCCGCACTGCACAACATCAAGATCAAGTGCCCAAGCTTTGCAATGTATGTTGAAAACATTTATAGGAATCCATCAGACCTCTATATAGTAAACAACAAGGCTCTAAGAGGTGATACCATCTTACAGTCAACCGAGGGAACAACACAGGGGGACCCTGTTGCAATGGCAATGTACGCAATAGGCTTATCCGTGCTCCAACACACAATAAAATTTGAAACAACTGAGGTCAAGCAAGTGGCATATGCTAACGACCTTACAGGAGCAGGAAAAGTGGTGGGACCTGGTAACATCACGAGGTCCACAAATAGGGTACCACCCAAACGCCAGCAAGTCCTTCCTCATTGTGAAGCCAGAACATTATGAACGGGCAATGGAGGTGTTCGGTGGAAGTGAGGTCAAAATAACAGAGGATGGCCAAAGACACCTAGGTGCAGTAATCGGCACGATGGACTTCAAGACCGAATACATGATGGGAAAGGTGATTGTGAGTGGGTTAGGGAAATCCAAGCTCTGTCTGATATTGCTAACACAGAGCCACATGTGGCTCTTGCGGCATTTTCCCATGGAGTCAAGCATTGCTGGAACTACCTGATGCGCACTATCCCTCATATCGGACCCCTCCTCCATCCTCTGGAAGAAACTATCAGAGTCAATTTCATTCCCAAATTAGTGAAACATCTTCACTTAACCCCAGCAGAAAGATCACTCCTTGCACTACCACCGAGACTGGGAGGAATGGGATTGACCAATCCAGAGGAGTTTTCTGCCACCGAACATCAAAACTCAGTTAAGCTCATGGCAGCCCTCACTGACCACATAATAGCTCAGAACGCAACAGGTGAGGTGGATACCAGTGAAGTAAACAAGATTTGAAGGTCCATTACGACAGCACGGCCAAAGTGATATGTTGGAGCAACTGATGCTGCAAGTACCAGAGAATTTGGAAAAAAAAGTAGCTATAGCGCAGAAGGTGGGCGGCTCGAACTGGTTAACTACGTTACCGATAAGGGCAAATGGTTTCAGTCTCAATAAACAATAATTTACAAATGCCATTGCTCTAAGGTACGGTCGGCCAGTAGAAGGTTTGCCCTCCCAATGCGTGTGTGGCGTTTCCTATGACGTTGATCACGCCATGGTGTGCAAGAAAGGGGGCTTCATATGCATGAGGCATGATGAAGTAAGTGACCTTACAGCAAATATGTTGAAGGAAATCTGCCGGGATGTCATGGTCGAACCGACCCTCCTTCCATTGGATGGTGAGATCTTCCAACATAGGACTTCAAACACATCTAACGAAGCCCGTGTTGACGTCAGTGCTCGAGGATTCTGGACGCGAGGACAGCGAGCTTTCTTCGACATCAGGATTTTTTATCCCATGGCCGCATGTCACCGTAACCTAGCTCTCGATGCTGCACATAGGAGGAACGAGAACGACAAGATAAGGGCATATGGGGAGAGAATCCAAAACGTTGATCAAGGCAGCTTCACTCCTCTAGTGTTCACAACCTCTGGTGGGATGGGACCAAGTGCAAGATGTTTCTGTGCCAGACTCGCGGAGGTGATCTCCAAACAGAAGCAGCAGCCCAGAAGTTTCGTTACAGCCTGGATGAGATGTCGACTGTCTTTCTCTCTCCTTCGGTCGGCTTTGCTCTGCCTCAGGGGAACGAGAGCTTCTGCCCCAATTCCAACAACTGCTGCAGATATCGACTATGAGGCAACAGTCACTGAATGCCGCATAGATCTGCGGCTCAACTAATTTAACACACAGGATAGCTACATATGTATTAGGATATTTAATATTAAGGTAATTAAATGGTGTCGAAGGTGTGGCTATTGTAGTAGTAATCGTGTATGGAAGCCTTACTTGAGAACTATAACTATTTTTTAACAACTCAAAACTAGATGATGGGTTAAGAGAGCCGCCAAGGTACTGGTTTAGTCATTGGGAGAGGATGAGTGTGTGACATTGTTTTATATAATGAGGTCAAGTGCCAGAATACAGTATAATGAGGTCAGTGCCACAATATATTAAGCTCAGTACCAGAATATAATGAAGTCAGTGCCAGAATATAATGAGATGGGAAGGAGCCCACCAAAGAAGAAAATGTCAATTTCTGTTAATAATATATATGTGGGAGATATTAATTAGATATTGAAAAAAAATGTTGGAACATTGTTATTTTAAGAGAGTGTAATCGTCTACGGGTGACAGATGTGTACTGATAGAGTACTGTACATGACTGTACGAATGTGTAATGGTTTTGGATTCTCCTCTCTGGTGTGTATGGGTTTCAGATTTAATTTTTCTCCTTATATTTTATATTGCTGCATAATCTTAACGTCATTGATTCATTTTTTGTTTCTCCTCCTCTCAGCTACCTTGGATCAGGCGGACGGTTTGGGTGGTTCATGCCTAAGAGGTTACTGCGACCTGATTTCATCGTTGAGCACTGGAGGTCCTTCACCAGTCCAAATTCCCCAACTCTCAAACTGTTTTCTAGGACTCAAGATGGTTAGTACTGAAGTGTGTGTATATACTGTACAGTTGTTTGGAAATTTTAAGTTTGATCTGAAACTTTGTGAAGGATAATGTGAAGTTTAGTGGAGATATTTGAAAAACTACTTGTGTATTGGACCCCCTCTTTGGTGAGAAAAATCGTCTAATGTCAGCCACATACTGCAAAATATTAAAAGTGGTGTCCCCATAGTGAAGGGGTTAAGAATTAAGAAGAGACCTGCCTGGGAGACACTGTCACTGGCTCATGGAGAAAACTGCCTGATGGTAGAAGACAGTGTGATGCTTCCTCTGTGACCACAGTACTGTACAGCCAACAGATTATTGCACAATATAATTAATATTCTCTTAATTGTAACCTGAACCTGTAGACCACCAGCACCACACCTGTATACCAAGGTTGTGGTTTGTGGCAAAAAATCAAATAAAAGTAAAAAAAATCGGTAAAATAAAGAGAGTGCCTCACTCTAGGGCTTCATGGCTCATGAGCCCTCAGGACTCTCAACCTGAGACACAGGTTCAATCTTATACCAGACTGGGTTATACTGTACAGTACTGTAGTGTGTTCCGAGTGTGTCACCACGTCAGTACCTGGACCAAGCTAACACTTCTAGCTGGAGGGATTTATTTCCTCTTTGGCAGAAGATGCTGGCAGTAAAAATAGAGAACATTTGATATATTGTACATTACACCACTGTACTCTGCTGTTCATCAAGCATAACAGTTACATCAAATAATGAGAGATGCAGACAACTACCACTGTGAAGAAAAGTACAAAATATACATTTGAAATGAACGATAACCAAAATGTTTTTTGCTGTTGAAGGAAAATTATATCTGTTTGAGAGTGTAACATAGTACTGTACTTCATTTGGTCTAGTTTCTGTTTATAAATTATTCTGAAGATGTTGTGTAAATCCAGCTGAAAATATTCATAATTTTTCAAGTATACAAACCTTTTCCTGTTAAGATGTTTATGATATAGCTTATATGTTTAATTATTTACGTATTCTATGAAACACTGTATATTATTTTATGCCTTGAAATATACCAATAAAAAAATTATTTGTTTACCAGAATTGAACACTCTGTCGTTTAAAATGAGAGACCCAACAACTGGGGAGTTTTACTGCCCCGAGAGTCTGGGGTGTGAAGATGGCCTGTATGTTCCCTCTAGATGCAGTGCTCATCAACCATGTGCTGTCCTCTTTGCTTCATATGCAGGTAAGTTTTTTCTGTAGTGTCTGTGTGTGTGTGTCTGTCTCACTAAAAAATAGGAATAATCATTAAATTTAACCTTATAATTCAACATATGATTTTTCCAGAGAGAGATAAACTATTTGTTTTTAATTCTATGACTTAATGAAAATAAATTCATCAATTATAAAGTTGCTGTGTTCCACTCAAGATGTTAATTACTACCTTAGTACTACCAAGCCACACCTGAACTAGATTAGGCAATTTTAGTAATGGTGTTCTCCATATATAGTGTACAGTCTAGTGTGCACACCCACACCCACACACACACACTAATAGATGTAAGTGAAGTAACCTAAAGTAAGTAGTGCTAAGTCTTATCTCAATCTTACTTCTAATATTTTCATATAAATAATGGATGTGACTTCCAGAGGTCAGTGTCATAGTATAAAATACATATTGACAGTAATCCTAGTGACAACTCAACTCAAATTGTTGTGAATTAACAACTAATGTTACACTGTAGAACTCCTCTTATTTTAGTTATCACGTGACTGCGGTATCTAACATGAAACAAAAATGCATTAGATTCTATAGTTTACTATATAATGTACACTGTTTTTTTTATTTCACTAATATTATGAGTAAATTCTTTCCTTTATGTATACATCTGTAAAAATTTTAATAAAGATCATTATATTTATTTCAGATTATAATGTGACAAAGTTCCTTCGTGGTCAGATTGAGGCCATGAAAGCATATGTAATTGTGTCTTGGATTGGACCAAACCTCAATCACAAATTCATAAAGAACAACAGTGATCTGTCCGGGCTTGAGGGTGAAGAAGAACGTTCAATTCTCATCTTCCACTGGTGGCCGTCTGTGCTGCTCCAGCCGTTTGACTTTATATCTGTTTCCTTTCCGCCGTGCATAGACAGAACCATTGTGAGTGTTTGTTTATTTAATTTTGAAGAATTTAATAAGATAGTAATCATTTACAGTTTTTTACTCTTATTTTATGTCCAGTAGTTAAATTTTTGTGATTTATGTTGTCTTGTGATTGTGTTTGTCTGTTCATCAACATAAGATAATTAAAAAAAAATCATAGTCAAAATAAAGTGATAACTCTGTTCAGATATAAAGATTAATTATAAAGCAGCAACCATGTCAACATACTGTACTGTCCTAAGATATATTGTGATCACAGATTTATTCATCTTTATACAACGTAGTTTGCCTTAAGTACTTACCTGCATATTCCCCTGGTACTTGATGTATGCAGTAAACATATAAGGACGATGATGTCATTAATACATGTTAGATAAAGACATTAGAATTAGTGGCAGGGAAGGGATTAAGTGCTGTTGTTGTGTTAATACAGTACAGTACTTTAAATGTCTCTCAAAGGAAAAGAAACATTTTACGGAGATGTTTCTTCACATATGACTGTCAGTGTTGTGTCTTATGCCAACACAGACTTAGTGATGTGGGATCCAGTGAATCTTTAGTTTTCATAATTTCATTTTATTTTTCAGAAAGCTGATGGTGATTCTCCATATCAGTGCAAATACGAGATGCATCGGTTCCATAAATTTTTATGGAAGAAATTGAAGAGATATGCAAAATTTGCATATAATGTGAGTTTGTATTATGTATTTATCTTGTATTTTTCTTTACTAAAATGAGTTTTTACCTTTTACATTATGATAATACATGTAGTAAATACAAGTGTGTGGGACGTTAGAACTGCTCATGAAGTGTTTTTTCATTTGGTAACAAAATAAATGTATTTTTGATTAGTAATTACAGTAGTTGAAGTACAGTATATTGCTTGATCACTATAAAACTTTCTCCGTTAGTAATTAATTTACGTGTTTAGTTGATAAATCATGACCTGTGTGTTTCCTTATGTTTCAGGCCTTCCACAAGGTGCAGGTAAACCACACAGACTTCATGGATCTCTTGGACACTTACAACATGTGGAAAAACAAGTCATCCTTGGCTCTTGATGAGGTCGCCTGTCACTGGATGAAGAACAACAAGGTACGGTCAAAGTTGATTATGTGATGCAAGAAGCTAGTACTATAGTAGTCTACAATACACCTCCCTGTCTGGATTTAACACACTTATACTTCTATATTGTTTACATTCATATTTATCAGCTATCACTATACTGTACTGTGCACACACTTTTGTTATAGTTCACCTCCTGTTATCATGTATAACCATGACTCAGCTCTTTTGTTATTTGTTCTCCTACTTCCTTGTCTCCTCACTGGAACATTTCTGTCATGCTCCCAACTATACCAAGTGCTTCTCCTTATTCAAACTAACATTTGTAAGCTCACTAATCTAACCTTTTAGTTCCTTTTCTATTAATGTAAAAATAAATTTTCCTTTATTTTCTTATGTATCTGAATGTTTGCTTGACATATACAATATGCTGTATAAGATTGATATGTTAAACACAGTAATAATAGTACATTTTGATCTTTACAACAGCAACGATGGTTGACATGGCAACCGGGCAGTACTCTGCACCAACTGAAGATGGTCGGTCTCTTTCCAATCTCCACCGAAAAAAAAAACAGACGCAAGTTTATCGCTCCCGGCAATGTTCCTGCGTATTTCATGGCAGTTGAGGCCGTCAACAAAAATAAAAGCATCCTTACTGATTTTGAAATTCATCCCATTGTGTTAAACGGAGCGTGTGAGCCAGCCATGGTGATGAGGCAGTTCATAGAGATTCTCCAAATGTCTTCTAGTCAGGGATTCTACAATAATATGGTAATTGTGTGAAGAAATTATCTGAGATAAATTATTAGCTCAAACTAAAGTGTTTTGTGACTGTGTTCAGCAGATTTATTGTACTGTAATGCTGTAATTTTGACTCCTCTTTATTTTTTTCAGATTGGGTTTGTGGGTCCAGCATGTTCTGATACAGTTGAACCAATCGCTGGTGTGTCAAAATACTTCAATGTGCCAATAATCTCGTATGGTGCTGAAGGCGCCATATTTTCAGATCAAGACCATTATCCATACTTTTTTAGGACTATTCCAGAAAATAAGATTTTCCGGTAATTATCATTTACATTTTATTTGGCTAAAGTTGATGAATTTAAAGTAATTTTTGTCAATTAGATTATGTTTGTTTCTTTGATAGTAAGTTATTGCTTATAAAATACACAGTGAGTAACAGTATTGTCACATACTTCATATTAGTTATTGCATTAGATTTTATGATAAATATTTGTTGTTGTTTAAAAAGATTCTCCAAAGTGAACAACAGATTTATTTCAAGAGTTACTAGACAATAAGATGGATCTCTTCTTTACCACCAACAAAACAGTGATACATTACACACACACCAAACTGGCTGTGTGTGTGTATCATAGTGTTGGTGTGTGATAAGAGGAGGAATTAATACCACACAAACATTAGCCTGAACTTGATTGACATTTGATTTTTTTATTTCAGATACGTGTACTCCTCCTATTTTAAGAGAGAAGGGTGGAAGAGAGTTGCATCACTCACAGAAAATGGACAGAGGTACTCAGAATACTTGACGCTTCTTCGTGATAAACTGCAGGTGAGCATCATGTGTATTGTCAACTTCGGTTTCTGAAGCAACGTTCCATCACACACACACACACACACACACACACACACACACACACACACACACACACACACACACACACACACACACACACACACACACACACACACACACACACACACACACACACACACACACACACACACATACTACTACTACTACTACTACTTTGCTGTCACTCGGAATTGAATATGACGATCATCCAGCTATGAGACAATGATATGAGTTATTAAGGATGTCACCTTCGTTGGTGAGTTTTGAGGTGACTAAAGAGGTCGATACGGGACTGGCAGAGTTGTTCACAGATGTTGCACATGTGGATGGCTCCATCTAGTGCGGGAGGGGCAGCAGCAGTATCTTTCCGGCGTAGGTCCTTGTTTGCCTCTGTTTACAGTTGGGCTAACTCAAAAGTATTGACACCTACTCGTGTGGTGCTCCTCCAAGTTTTACGATGTGGAGTAATTGTATCCCATATGTGGGGGGTCGATTTGGCACCTTTTCAGGTTTGTCTTAAGACTATCCTTATACCTTTTCAGTTGCCCGCCAGTGTTACGTTTACTATTCATTAGGTGACTGTAAAGCAGCTGCTTTGGCAGTCTACTGTCGTCCATGCGGGTAACATGGCCAGTCCAACATAGTTGTTCGTGGATAATGGTAGCCTCGATACTCCTACAGTTGGTGTCAGCAAGAATACTGGCAAGTGTTCTCTTGTCTTCCCAGTGAACTAGGAGGGTGGAACATAGACTACGTTGCTGAAAGTTTTCAAGTGCCTTGAGGTGCCTCCTGTATGTGACCCATGTCTCGCTGCCATATAGCAGGGTGGAGAGGACCACTGCTCAATATACGTGTAACTTTGTACATAATCTCATTTCCCTATAGCTGAAGACACGGATACAGAGTCTGCCAAAGGCTTGAGATACACATCTGATCCGATGTTGAATCTCTTCATCGATGTCTGCGGTGGTGGACAGGTGGGAGCTGAGATACTGAAAGTGGCTAACATTAGAGAGGGTAGTATCGTTAAGCTGGATGGATGGTGGAGGTGTGGCTGAACCAGGGGCAGGTTGAAAGATAATCTGAGTCTTACGTACATTCACCTCAAGGCCCAAGTGCGCATACTCACCTGCGTAGGTGGTTAGGATCATGTTCAGTGTGAGCAACAAGGGTGAGGTCTTCTGCCTACTGAAGTTCAATAATGGAAGCTGCCGACACCTTTGTTCCTGCCTGGAGTCGTCTTATGTTGAAAAGACCCTTCATCCAGTACTCAATGTCCACCCAATCGGCTAAATTGGCACTGGTACGAGTAAGGAAGGCAGCCAAGAAAATGAAAAAGAGAGTTGGTGCCAGTACACACCCTTGTTTAACCCCTGTTTGGATGAGGAAGTGCTCAGACTGCGTGCCATTGTGCAGGACACTGCCATTCATGCCATCGTGGAGTTGCATCACAATGACGTTGAATTTTGGTGGGCAGCCAAAACAGCTGAGGGTCTGCCAGGAGGCTTTCCTGTTGACACACACACACACACACACACACACACACACACACACACACACACACACACACACACACACACACACACACACACACACACACACACACACACACACACACACCTATACTGTGAAGCAAATAAAAAATTTCATTCAAGTCCTTCTGTCTCTTCCATTATTGCCTAAAGTATTTTGTGGTTCATTTTTTTTATTATATTACTCATTATTGTTTCATATATATCAGTTGGAGCACTTTTATATTGCTTACGTGTCACTGAATATTCTCCTGTAATAATATTGTGTTTTGTATTACAGGAAGATGGTATTGAGCTGGAAACCCTTAAGTATCCCCAGGAGAGAAAGACACCTGACATGACTCAGTATCTCCTGGACTTGAAGAACAAAAACTATTACATCATCATTGGCGACTTTTACCAAGATGTTGCTCGAGAAGTTATATGCGACGCCTACCATCTGAAGATGACTGGCCATCAGGTAACGTGTTTATCAAGTAAAGTAATGTGTTAATATTGGTTATCAGGTTATGTGTTAATACTTGCCATCAGGCAATGTTTTATTGCTTAATGACTAAAATTGATAAAAGATTTTATTACACATTATATCAGGATTGGCATTGGAGTAAAATTTTAGATAAGAGAGAGAGCACTAACCATGTAATTATCACTTATCTCCCTCCAGGCTTACCTGTGGTTCCTCCCCCACTGGTTCTCGGCCGACTGGTATGATGTAGACAAGGTGCCAAGTTACACCAAGTGCACGACGGCTCAGATGCACAGCGCTCTCCAGGGACACATGTCACTCTCATACAAATATTTTGCTGAAGATAATGACATTATGCAAGAAGGAATAACAGTTGCAGAGTGGAGGAAACTTTACAGTCAGGTACAGGACCCCCCCCTTGTGTACTACTCTGTACCTGTATAAAGTTACTACATATATAGTTGGATGGATTATATATTAGATCCTTTGTATATGATAAATTCCTCTTGTCTGTATAAAAAAAACATTGTATTTAAGTACATTGCAGAAGTATGGTCTATTTTTGGACACAGATGTTTGTACATGACAGTCAGACCTGTCAGACTAGCTGTGGGATGTACATTAGATTTTTGGATTCATTTATGTCCTTGCATGAACATTATTGTATAGACTGTATATCAGTTTAGTCTGTAACCACTTTACTGTTACATACAGGGTGGTCCAATTAAAGTGAACCAGTTTTAGGTTGGCAACACTGGGTAGGGGTTTGAGTGGGAGGAGAAAGCGGGGTGGCAGTTGGTGGCATGTGGCCTTGGATTTGGTGCACAATGGATCGTTGGCCGGTACAGCAGCGTGTGTTTTCCCGAAGGCCAGAATTGACCAGGAGGTTGATGCCATTTCTCCAGATGTGCTTCGTAGTCATGCACAACTTTCTCCAACGACTGCAGTAGTGTATTGCGAAGAGGGGTGTACATTTGGATGACAACTTTCAAACATTAATAACTATTGTTTCCAAAGGTTTTCAGAAACTTGCAAACTGCTTAAATACAGATTATGTCCATTTCATGAATTTTTATTTCATTTTCAACTTGGTTCACTTTAATTGGACCACCCTGTATAATGGCAACATCTCATATTATTACTGCTAATGTCATTTAGGATTATTTAATCCCTTCTTAGAATACAGTACGAGAATTAGACTCCTTGTTAAATGCTGCCAGAGTCTGAGGTACAGTCAGCTACACTTATACCTGGTACTGTGGCTGGTGAGTTTTGTGAGATGTGGCAACTCTGTGTTTGTTTACATCATATTGAAGCTTCTGGAATGGCCCAAAGGAACCTCGGAATGGTAGCCAGACTAAGGTTGCTAGATAAGCATTCCACAGAGCTGCCACATCTCACAAAACTGTACCAGGTATAAGTGCAGGTGACTGTACATAGATAAGCTTTAGTCTCAGTACAATATCATATAATTCAGACCAGAGAAGACCGGTGGGGCAACATATGATAAGGTAATGGCTTCTGGATGCTGTATTTCCATTTGATGCAGCACCACACATAATAAATTGACAGATGCCTCAGACAATGGAAGGTTACTCGTGGTACACATACCTTTGTTGTCTGTATTGTTGGTTCCTTTTTTGAACTGGAAATATGTCATTACATTATTACCATATACGATATACAAATCCTGCACAGTATGTAGTGAGACGGCAGCCTAGAGTCTACCACTTTGGTCACCCCCTCAAAGGGAAGCTTCTTCAGGAATAATATTATAGGTAAAAGGCTGCATGAAGCCACACTTGGTCAGATAACACATTGTCTAGAAAATAGTGATTTGTTAGTTTTGTATTTACATCATAATACTTGTTTTTCTTGATTTCTAATGACAATAATGCACATTACTGAATTTGCCTCATATTTGTCTTTGCAGCGAATTAACACTACTGTTAAAACAAAAAATGCATCAGAGTCCGACTATGCTGGCTTTACCTACGACGCCGTGTGGACCTACGCTCTGGCCTTGGATAATCTGTTCAAGAAGGATCCATCGTACGCTGCTGACCTTAGAGCAACAAGCACCATTGGGTAAGTCCAGTTCAATACATTTATTTGGCATTTTAACTTCTCACTGTAAATAAATACGTATACAGCTATTGTCAGTTTACACCATGGGGGATTGAGTGTCAGTACAGGATGGGAGAGTCTTTGTTGATATTAATTCCAGCTACCTTGTGTTGTGCAGGATGAGACATAAGAGATCAGAAGAAAAAGGAAATAACCCTTTGTGTTGATTAAGCTTCACTCCCTAGAGAGAGAGAGGCACTCGACATTAATTACATTTTTATTCACAGTTCCTGTACATGTATTTGGGAATTTTTTTCATGGTAATTTGTTTGCTTTTCACATGCTAAATTACTTATGAGGTAAAAAAACAAATTAAACATGATTGTCTTTCAGTAATAATACTACTACCTGTACTGCATGTAAAACTGTAATAAATATGTGTTTTTAAGAACCGTTTTTATTTTTCTGATTCTAAATTTTTATAACATCCAGAATAAGATCCTTCTTTTCTATTTTCACTAATTTTGAGAACTTAAGATATATTAAATAAATCAGTGCAGTTATTACATTTCTTCAACATCATTGCTTGATTATTTTTCAGGGCATTCATGAAGGAGATATCAGCAATATCCTTTAATGGAGTGTCTGGTCACATCAACTTTTCCTCCGGTGCCTCAAGGATGACGGACATCATAGTGTGGCAGTTTCAGAACAAGGAGTATGTTGAGGTCGGCCGCTTTCATCCTCCTCCTTCAGTATCTGACACTGGAGAGTAAGTGTGTTAGGGCTTCACCTGTAATGTTTGACTAAGTTGAGGATATGTGTGTGTGTGTGTGTGTGTGTGTGTGTGTGTGTGTGTGTGTGTGTGTGTGTGTGTGTGTGTGTGTGTGTGTGTGTGTGTGTGTGTGTGTGTGTGTGTATAAATAAATATATTATAATAATAATAATAATTAACGGTTTATTGAAAAAAATTCTGCAGCCCTAAGGCTGAAAATATACATTGGACATAAATGACTTATTACATGCATTGGTGGTTTAACAAAAGCCTTCATTAGAGAAAGGTAAAGGAACATACAGTGAACATACAGATTAATGTAGGTGTTGAACAGTAAACTCGTAGTGTAGTAACTCCCTCCCAGACGGTGTTAGGAGGAACTCACGTGGTGTAGTAGTTCCCTCAGATGGTGTTATGAGGGACCTGGCGTGGTGTAGTAATTCCCTCACAGATGGTGTTATGAGGGGCCTCACGTGGTGTAGTAATTCCCTCACAGATGGTGTTATGAGGGACCTCCGTGGTGTAGTAATTAACTCACAGATGAAATTATGTTATGAGGGACCTCACGTGGTGTAGTAATTACCTCACAGGTGGTGTTATGAGGGGCCTCACGTGGTGTAGTAACTCCCTCACAGATGGTGTTATGAGGGGCATCACGTGGTGTAGTAATTCCCTCACAGATGGTGTTATGAGGGACCTCACGTGGTGTAGTAATTCCCTCACAGATGGTGTGATGAGGGACTTGACGTGGTGTAGTAATTCCCTCACATATGGTGTTATGAGGGACATGTGGTGTAGTAATTCCCTCACAGATGGTGTTATATGAGTGAGGTTTGGTCCCAGGCCTTCCTATCGTAGACGGATTAACACATCGGTGGTTGTTGTTGGGTCTCGCGGGGCCGTTATCACTGGGTACCTGGGACCTCACTGTGTGAAGGTTAACTTGGGTACGACTGTTACTGTTGAGTTGTTCTCACTGACTTAAGCACTGTTCACCACTGTTCACCTCTGTTTAACACTGGTTCCGTTCCTTTCCTAAATGAAATTGTAACTTCTGGCGAGAACTTGTTGATATTCCGGTGGGGAGGAGGGTTCAGGGGAGGGGGTTGGTATGGACCAACTTAACAGTTGACCTGGCTGCTCCGAGAGGAGCGCCAGGTACGTCTTGACCCTTCGGTGGTCAAGGATGCCTGCGTGAGTGCGTGCATGTGTGTGTGTGTGTGTGTGTGACAATAATAATACTGTAGCATAAAAGAGTAAAAAAGTAAATAATAATAGTAATTTGATTGTACAGTATAGTAATTGTTTGACCTGAAATACAAGGAATGAATCTATATTTCCAGAGACAAGGAGATTGATTTCAACTTCAAAATAAATAAGGATCGGTTTCTATGGCCAACCGGGGAAAAACCAGTAGATGGCAGCACATGTGCAATACAGGCGTTCAGTGAGTTTGTGAATCTGGAATGTGCATATGCCTTAATTGTCCTGTGTACGCTGTGCTTTGGCGGCCTCATACTACTGCTTTTCATCTGCTTCTGCATATTTAAGAGGAGGTGAGTTTGACCTTTTTGTCTTTATAATTAAAACAGCTTATGAAAAAATACATTTGTTTAATTATATGATAATTTAGATATTTTGTGATCAATAAGTTTTATGTGCTGTGTTACAGAGAGTTGTATGGTACATATATGTCAAAAAGTAAGGACCATTTAAAAGCAACATGATTATTATTCTAATCAATGAAAGAACAATTAATATATTGTATTACATTCATTTTCATATAACATCATCTTCCACAGGTATGAAAAGAAACTTGAACAAATACAAGAATTGTGGCGTCGGCGACCATTGTTTGAGATATTCGATGGTTGGGAGATTCCAAGAGACAAAGTTGTCATCAATCGCAAGCTTGGTGAAGGAGCATTTGGAACGGTGTATGGAGGGGAGTGCCAGTTTGATACTGAGGGATGGGTGAGTGAACTTGAATTGACATTACAGTACTGTACTGTATAGAAAAAGAATGAATAAACTGTGCACTCATACACTTACTGTATACAGTACATGCATGAAAAAAAACAACACACACACACACGCACACAATCTAAAATTAACTCTTGTTGAGTAAGGGTTAATCTTTAGGCTTTATCCATGCACACATTATAAATATTTTTACCCTAAGTGTTTCTCCATTCTTGTGCCTTCTCATAACCAAGAGAACAACAAGGCTAACCTGCAATGATGGAAAATGATCCCACCAACACAATACCTCTACAGTACTGTTATGTTATTTTACATTTGCTGGCACCTTTTATACTGTACGGTGTTTTTGTGTGAGTTATATCTTATAGTTTATGTTAATACTGTACAGCTTTACAAATACTGTAGGTTAATTCACAAAACCCCATAAGTCATATTCTTTCAATCCTTCCCGTGAGAAAATTCCAAAGTATAATCAGGTGCGGGGCTTTGTATCATGAACAATTGAACATCTAATCTGAGTCGGATAATCACCATTAATGTATCAGAAGTATGGTCCCTGTTAGGCTTAGAAATTCAATTGAGGATAACATTTCATTGTTGCTTTATTTTTTTTTATGACATTGATTTTTTAATGAGTTTATTACTTTGAGGGTTTAGTGCTCCTTACCCTGCAGGTGGCCGTAGCAGTCAAGACGCTCAAGGTTGGTTCTACCATATCTGAAAAGTTGGATTTTCTCTCTGAAGCCGAGATGATGAAAAACTTTGAACATGAAAACATTGTTCGTCTCTTAGGAGTCTGCACAAAAACTGAACCTATCTACACAGTGATGGAGTTTATGTTGTATGGTAAGATACTATATTGCATATCACTGTGCAATACTGTAATACACATTGGATACATTATACTGTAGTAGTGTCATATTACTTTAAATTATATTTTCAGATTTTAAGTAAAGCAATAATTATATTATGTGAATTTATATTGTGATGCTTCAGGAATCACATAAGATAGAATTATGATGTTACTTCAGAAAATAAGAGGTACAGTACTGTACAGTGTGTGATTTGTGTTAGACACACTTGAGTCAGTAATTGTCTTGTATAGATATTATAAAGATGGAAATATATAATCCTAAATTTACACAGTCCCATAAAAATTGACTGGCTGATAAAATTTGGCGCCCAGTAGTGTCAAAATTGGCCGCTACATATGAAAATCGCTATATTTTTTATTATAGTATATTTCGTACGGTAAGCACAACTTTGCACAGGTATTCATCAATACAGTACTTTAGGTTTTAGCAATGTTTTATTTGGTTCACTGATGTAATACAGGCTTCTTGCCTCATACAGTACAGTTCTTGCTGGTGTAGTTGTGTTTATATACTTTAGGACATTTGTACTCTAGCATTTTATTTTATTTTATTATTATTATATTGTAGCTGAATACTTGGCAGTAGTTTTATTACAGATTAAGATATATGGAGGCAGCAGCCCAGTCAGCTGGCTCTACACTGTACTGTATAGGTAGTAGGCAACTACCAAACAGGAAGGTACAGTCAACCCTCGTTAATTCGGACTAATAGGGGGTGAAGGGTGTCCGTTTTAGCCGATTGTCCGAATTAACCGATTTAGGGGTTAATATTGCATTATATTTCAAAGTCATTGTTTTCGGCACGTTTATCCCACTTTCCACTGTAATACGTACGTAATTTCAGCAAAAATATTACATTTCCGTGAATGTATTATATCAAGCACAGTATGAATAGAATATCATTGTAATATAACAGTATTTTAACTGAAAACTACTAAAAAAAACGAATAACATCTCAAGAACATCGGAAGCTTAGGTAAAGTCTTTTGTTTTCGTCACGTTTATCCCACTTTCCACTGTAATACGTACGTCATTTCAGCAAAAATATTACATTTCCGTGAATGCATTATATCAAGCACAGTATGAATAGAATACCATTGTAATATATCAGTATTTTAACCAAAAACTATTAAGAAAACGAGTAACTTCCCTAGAACATCGGAAGGTTAGGTAAAGTCTTTTGTTTTCGTCATGTATTTTATCCTATTTTACATTAAAATACATCACGTTTCAGCAAAACTACTATTTATTTCCGAGAATATATTCATTCAGGCACAGTTAAGGTAAAATATACATGTGATGTAACAGTTTTTTAACTGAAAACGATTCGAAAAACACGTGTACCGTGTAGCTAATACTCAACAGCTGGTGGTGCGTCATGTGTCGTTGTAAACAATAGGAGGTTGAAGTAGATTACCGGGTATTATATTAAGTGTGAAATATCAAAAAGGTTTTTATTACCGGTATTTTTTGTAGATCAATGAGAACTGTGATACCGTATATGATATGATAAGTTAGCCTGTGCTAAGAACTTCAACATAGACTACTGAAAACACGTTGTAAGGTAATTTAGCCTATTGTAAGTTGGTGAGCTTCATTTGCTGAAGGAACTGCACAACTTTTCATTACTAATTGGTACAAATTTTACGTTTCCATTGTTTACTGGCAGTAAATGGTAAATATTTTTCATGTCTGAAGCTAAAAGTTGCATCCCCCCCCACACTAGTGGTGATGTTACATTTGACCAAAAAGACGCTGGTGTTTTATCCCAGCAGTGGGTGGACCAGCATTTTAGCTTAAGGTCCGCGTAGGTAATATTCCTACAAATCTTAAAAAAAAAAAAAAAAGTTCGTTCAGATTTTGTCCGAATTATCCGAAATCCGGATTAAAGGGGTCCGAATTAACGAGGGTCGACTGTACTACCACCTGGGAAGATATTGGAAGTATAATGTATTGTCTAATGGTAGACTCTGCTGCCATATGGCATCACAAAAATTGTGACCAAGTCCCAGGTTGCTGATCTGACTTTCTGCCTCATTTACACACAATTGCAGGGTCTCAATTGTTTCTCATACTATTGACAACCTGTATTACATTTTTGCCCCCCAGGCCCCGATGTGGGTCAGTGACCTGTGCCCGGGAGGGCTAATCCCCGTAAAAAAAAAAAAATGTATTATGTACACTGTACAGATCACTTATCATGTACACAATCATACATCATAAGTAATTAGAGGAAAAACACAAATATGCAACAGTATTTATTTTCCAAGGTGTTTCATATTTTCTTACATTTCACAATACTGTTCTGTAATTCTAATACGTACTATCCAATACTGGATTTGTGGGAACCTTTTGTGTACAGAATATACTCACTCCCTGGTGACTTTGTCAATATATAATGTACTATATAAGTACATGATGTAAGAAACTTTTTAGTGGTAAGTTTCTATAACTATTCTTTAAATACAGTCTTTTTTTGCATCTTAATGACAATTGAATGTAAAGTACAGTACTGTACTGTGTACTGTAGTTTAAAACTTATATTTTCTCACAGGTGACCTCAAAGTATATCTTCTTGCCAGAAGAAATTTGGTAAATGAAAAGAATCGAAATGATGATGATGAAGTGAGCAACAAGAGGTTAACTTCAATGGCACTAGATATTGCACGAGGTCTTGCATATTTGGCAGACCTGAAATTTGTTCACAGGTGAGTTAATGTTTGTCTTCTGTTGCTCTTTCTTGTTCTGGGGTTGGTGATTTCTGTGTTAAAGGGGGGGAGGTATGAGGGTGGGGGGTGGGGGGGGAATGTTCACCTTACATGTGAGCGGTCAACGGTAAGATTCCTGGCCTTAACTGGAGGTTAGGGTTTACTCCTCTAACAGGATCTTTATGGACATGGCTGTAAATATGTTATCATTCTATTAACTGTATTTTTCATATTCATCTACAGTATTACACATACTGTTTATGACTATGGTTGAGATATACAGAATTAGTTACAGTACATTAAAAATGTCTTGTCTTGAAGAATTAAACAACTTTCCTTTTTCTTATTTTCAGGGATGTTGCTTGCCGGAATTGCCTGGTCAATGCAAACAGAACTGTAAAGCTCGCTGACTTTGGCATGACAAGGCCAATGTATGAAAACAATTACTACAAGTTTAATCGTAAAGGTGAGCCATACTGTATATCTCTCACTAATGTTTGGCTTACCTGATGTTGCCTGTCCTCTGTAAAATGTAACTGTAATGTTTAGAATTATTACTTTTTCATTCACTCTATTTTCACGAGTTTTGTGATAGAATACATGCTAATTTTATAATGTTTACATGGCTGAGGGTAATATTGATTAACTGTGATAGAATACATGCTAATTTTATAATGTTTACATGGCTGAGGGTAATATTAACTATATGAGATACACAATTCATTTCCTCTGTATTAGTAACATATGCTTGGTTATCATTTATAACGGTAGATTTTAACTACAGTAAACTTGGTAGTACTACAGTACAAATTTCCAAGTTAGAACTATGTATTTTAACATCAGCTGCCATAAAAATGGCCTTGTAAAGCATTGAAAGTATGGATAATTTAGTAATGATTGGTCAAGAGTTTTGCAATCATACACAAACTTTATTGGTGGCAGCAGAGAATTCACAGAGAAGTATAAAACTTAAGATGGCCAAACAAGGCCCAGGGTCACCTACACTTACTGCTACGTGAAAAACATCCTTGTACAGTCAGCCAAGTGGGAATTGTGGCAAGATGTTCTGGTGTATGGAGACATCTGGCACCCCTCTGTGTGTTTACTACCGAGTGGCTTCCACATGTCTCCATGCACCAGAACATTTGCCACAGTTCTCCATCATGACTGAAAATCTGCAGGTGTTGGGAGTGAAGGATCACCATCATCATTGCCCCAAGCCATTTGTCATTATTCAAGAAACAAATCTGTTTCTCAGAAATTTTGTTTTTAAATTTTAACACCAACCTGTAGATGTTTTTTGTATATTCACATGATTGGCTTTTTTCAGGTATGTTGCCTGTGCGATGGATGGCGCCTGAATCCCTGACAGAAGGCGTCTTTACAACAATGAGTGACATTTGGTCGTACGGTGTTTTGCTGTATGAGATCGTCACGTTTGGAGCATTTCCTTTCCAGGTAGATAGTTGGGCTTAAAACACTTACTGAATTTTTTGTGTAAATTACTTTATAGCATGAATACAAATGAGAACTTTCTATTGATGTTGCAGCAACCAGTCTTTAAATATGTAGGATAACGTGGGAGATCCCAGTAATTTTTCTCGGGTTTCTATTTGTCTCTCCTTTTATCTTTACTGTATACCTGTGCCATTTTGTTAAGGGATGGACCTGGTAAAGAGAACCCTCAAAACATGGAAGTGAAGAGTCTGGCTTGTTTGTTCTCTGGAAAGATATGTGGTTAAAGTTTGTTGGCACAGAATAGTCATTTGAAACTTATGATTCATTATAGAACAGTGAAGGTGAATGATGGTGTAATAGAATGGAGAAGTGGGAGAGTTGAACCAAATACAATAATGAATGGAAATGGAGATGTACTTTACAAAGGTATTATCACAATGAAATTGTAATTTTTTGTGTTGGTTGATTTTCAGTAACACCTGTAAGTAAACTGTAATTAATATACAATCTATTTTCTGCAGGGAATGTCAAATGACCAGGTGTTGGAGCATGTGAAGGCTGGCCATACTATTGCCATACCAAGAGGAATTAAACCTCAGCTGTAAGTTTTCACACACACACACACACACACACACAGTATTAAGGTAATGAATTAATAAGTATTTCATCTACTTTTTTAACTGCTGAGTTGTTTTAGAGGTTAACAATTTTTACACATGATAAAAGTTGGCTCAATGAAGACCAAAATATTACCAGACCCAAAATTTTCTGCTAAAAAGGAAATTAAAATGGTATCCCCCATAGTGAAGAGTTTTACAACACTGGGAAAAATATTTGCAAATTGTTTCTGATATAATTCCAAGTCTTATATATGTTTATTATAGAGTGAATACAAGAGCAAATATCATGAAATACAGCATTGGACTTATAGTGATTTGTCTTATGAAGTTTTGAAAGTACAGTATTGGGCTGAATAATTTCTAGGGGTCAACATGATGGTGATGCATGATACTGGACTGGCAGCACCATAATATAACACATTTACTCCACCTACTAGAGCAAATGACAGCAAGTGAAGGGAGATTTGGTGTTGCTTTTGATTCAAGTCACCAGTAGCAAGGATAAGACCTCAGGGGAATAAGTGTCGGGACTTAAACTGTAGTGCTTGAGTGTAGCAGTTTATACAACTTACTAACCTATATTTCTGACATAAATCTTATCCATTTCTCTATTTTGTGTCGCTATATAATACTCCCACCTATTAACAGATATTTTTATTTTTTAGGGATGTGCTGCTGAAGACTTGCTGGCATCGTGTGCCATCAAGAAGGCCACAAGTGTTACAAATTATTGAGCACTTGATCGCCTACCCACGACTGATATCACCGTCCCTGGATGGGCCCCAGTCTTCAGTGCAGATTGAAGACACTGTGTCACTGGAGATGAGAATTCCAGATAAGACAAGAAAATTGTCTCTGTCGATTAACAACCGCCTGCAGAACGTGGCATCCTCGAGCAGAAAGCGGTCAATGAGTGGAAATATGGTGATGAATATTCCACCCCTCACAACGAGTTTAAGCGAAGATGGCATGATATCTGCGCATTCCAATTTGGACGCTCTTAATTTAAATCATGTGATGGTTGAAGAAAATGAAATGGGAGAGGACCCTTTACTGCCCCCTGCCCAGTATGTCTCCTCAAGGTATATGTCTTTAACACCAAAGGAACACAAGGAGAAAGAAAAAGAAAGTTTAGTGAGCAGACAGCAGGGGGACTACTGCACCACTGATATATCTCGTGATTTATGGACTAATGTCACGCCTGTATAGGGAAAGGCTAACCTAGGCATACCTAAGTGACCAAAGTAGTGTTCTAGTGGTTTAGATTGCAGATTTATTGCTATATATTGAAGTTCCCTATTGAGGAACTCTAGACCAGATCTTAGCAGCAAAGCATGTGTGATGTACTCAAATGCTAATCTTTTTCTGGTCATTCTATTTTATATTATTTAAGTGGTATTTATAAAATTTTGTTACTCAAGATGATGTAGATATTCCTATAAAGCACTACAAGATGCTTGCTGATAATGGCTCGCACTCTTGCGCTGTGGGTATCAACACTGCAGATGGCGTCTATCAGTATTATCTCATTATGCAAGGGGATTCGTATGCAAGCTCTGATGCAATATGAATCATTGTTTTAAGACAGCTATCATGTGCCAATGCTGAAGATGAAACCTCGCGGGTGAACAGCAGTTGTTGCTGTGTATTGAAGCAATTCTGCAGCTCCTGGCCCACAATATTCCTCTCACCCCCTTCTTCACTATAGGTATTGTTGATCATGTGACTTTGTGATGTGATTTATTAATACAGAGCTCTTGGGGTCTTAGAGCATTCTTTTGCTGATTTCTTAAGAAAGTTAAGCATTTAGTTTATTACTAAATACAATGCCAAAGCTTTTAGTTTATATATTTCACCATCATTTCTTGCATGTTTTTCAAGATTTTGTTTCTTGACACTGTAACAGGGTAACTTTCTTCAACTTATTTATCTCTGGTATATCATGAAGCATCATACTTCACATTAAAAAGAATAATTTTTATGTTGCAAATAATTTGACCAATTTATGTATGTTAACCATTCTCTGATTATATTAACAAAAACTGGTGCAGATTTATCCAAGTGTTGAAAGTATTAAGTACAGGTACTTGATCTCTCTCTCTCTCTTACAAGTGAATATTTTTTGGCGTTATCTCAAACCAGTATGCAATTTTATCAAAGAAAATGAGAGAGGAGATTCTGTGTGTTTTCCTGGAATATCTTATGAATTTGACTTAGTTTTGAAGCTAACAATGATGCAATAACTGAGAGCACACTATTATCATTGACAACTCCACTTGACTTTACTGTCATTGAAGTGAAACAGTTTTGTCTTCCTTTTATGTTCTGTCTGTCTGTGTGTCACCTCAGAACAGACACCATACCAGGACATAAACCGTCTCCAAATAATACTGAAAATATAATGTAGAGGATAAATAAATGTCTCGCTTTTTAAGACTGTAAATCAATTGAAATCTTTATAACAAGATATTCTCTGTAGTCACCATAATGTTATATAACTACGTAGTGACAGCGATGATGCTTAATATCAATGCTCTGCAGAAAATGCTAAATTAGATGTCAATCCAGAGTTAATAAAATAGCCCACGATTAACACCTTCTTAACTGCAGACCAAAACTGTGGTATTAACACACTCTTGGGTGAGGTGTGACTACTGTACCATGATTTCAGTTTGTGGTAAAGATGGCAGTGATACTGAAAATTGGTTAAATGTAATCATTCTCAAGTAGATGCAACAGACATTTAGGTTGTGGTGTTAGGTGCAAAGTGGTGGCCTAAGTGTGTGCTGCTGGACTGATACGGGTCATGTGGGTTGAAGGCCGCAAATATGAGCTTCTCTCAGCTTCACTGCTCCCCTGTGGTCATTATTGTCATAGTGATAAATGTGGTATAAGGGTCACTATGCTAGGTATGTGCTAAGCACACACATCTACATATGTACAGTGCTATAGCTTGTAGGATCTAATCATGCATAACACAGTGTACATGCTTTCATCTTTCATCACCAAATTCTTGTTTTCACAGCAGTCGTGAAAAAGGTTGTGTACATCTAATTTGTGTAATTGAGTTATTTTCTAATCTTTGCTTGTAGTAAGCAATGCTTAATTTATAATAACTGCCTCTTGTCCTGACAGTTGCAGCTGTTCGTACGCCATGAATAATAAGGTTGGCTACTTATTGTAGTTTGTAGAGCTATCTTGTAGTACCAGATAAATCCCCAAAACTTGGTTTAAAATTTTTGAAATTTGTATCAAGATGTTTCACAAGTCTCAGGTCTCATGTGGAGGGATTAACTGGCTTGTCATCAACCCCTTAGAATTTTTATTATTTTTTTTTTTTTTACAGTTAAACTTTACTATTTAGCTCTTAACCTGGGGAGACTGAGGAAAACTTACATACTTGCCATCTACAGTTCAGTGCCAAGGAGGGAGGAGGGATTGACCTACTTATACATAATGTACAGCATATGTTAGTACAGTGGTCCCTGTTGCTATGGATGTACAGGTATTGCTAAGGCTGCCATGTTTGAAGTATCCTAATGACAACAAAAACAATATGCCTTATTAATGGAAAAATTCATAAAATATGACAGACAACTTTCTATTTTCCAAAGAACTTTGTGTACTGTGAATAGACAGGAAAGTGAGAACATTAACCAAGAACTTTATAATACTTGTTTCAGTTATTCTTTCTCAGCAGTTTTGAAAAATCCAGTTTGTCCAGATATAGTGTGCAGAAACAGCAGTGTGTACTGAGGTTACTTGACAAGTGTGGTTGTCCAAGAAGAATTCTTTGCTCATATCACAACTGTGTATGAGGAGGATGTTGTTTGTCACTATCAGAAAGAAATTACCTGGCTTTTCTGTTACTTCCCAACATCACTTTTTCTGGGTCACTACAGAGATGTTGATTTCAGTACTGTAGTGTAATATTGAGATCTTGCCTGAGGAGGCCTTATGGGGGTACAGTACAGTTGTGGTCAAACTTGAGTCAGTACTATTGGCAAGATGTGGTGTATTGATGTATTTATTTTGGTAAGGGGATTGGAACTCTTCTGGTTACATACTCAGATTTTTCTTTGTATTATAATATATTTTTATGTTGTTATTCAGGTATAATTGATAATGAAAACCCGCATTTACTGGCTATAAATTACAATAATGACATAGATGACCCACAAGTAAATGCCACATATGACCAAGTGTCAAATGAATTGTGGCAGCAGCTGTACCTCTGAAGAACAATACATCACTGCCTTACCTTGTCACTGTGGTTATACCAGAGCGTAGTGAGCCAGAGCTGTTAGTATTCTGTCACATCAGCTGCATGAGGAGCCAGATCATAACAAGAGATGATAACCAGTCAAGACCTGTGCAAGTTTGGGTAATGAATATAAACAGAAAAGAGTTTTATTAATGTGCCATATTTGTTTTCTGTAAAAAAAAATCAACCGAACCACACATGTACAGTACTTTGGTGTCTTGATATATACTTCAAACATGGTAATGCCCGTCTGCTAAAAGAACAGTGCTAACTTGAGTAGGTACTGAGGAACATCTGCAATCCAGGTTTATTTCACCTCACCTTCCGAAGAATCTTCCTCAAGAACTTCAACAATGCCTCTCCCTGATGCATCCCTAAGGACCTTGTGGGCATTCATACCAGTTATCTGTTGAATAATGCACACTATAAATATTTCAAAGGTCTCTTATTTTCCAATCTTTGTGCAAGTTGACTTTTATGTTAAAGACTATTTTGTATAACAGTAAGATTTTATTTTGTACTGTATCAGGAAATGTTAGGTCTGATAATTCCTTCAACCATAAGTAAGTAAGATGAGATTATTTTTTTAACTTGTTTGTAAAAGAATAACGAGTTTGACTTACGACTGGGGATGAGTACAGTACCCGGCACAGTTCTTTCCATCTTCTTACATTAATTTGAAAATGAGTTTATTTATTCTGTCCAAAAATTACTTGGTTAAAGAGAGTTTTAATTTTCTTATGCAAGATACTTTATATGTTTTAGTTTTAAGAAACTAATAACTGCAGATCATGAACATGGGTAATTAATAGTTTCCAATTGTAGGTAAATGTGTTCTACTAACTGTTCAGTCAGTTGCCAGTCTTGACTGTGTGCTGGAGGCACAGTTTGGTTTCACTACACCAGTCAACAAATTTAATCAGATTTGTGTCTACCAGTTTACCAAGTGGCTACCGGTGATGAGTGTATTTGTTTCCTCAAACTTGTGAAATATATTTTATCCAAATTTGTACAGGAAGGAAAAGATTAAGTTTTGCCTGTAGATACCAGATGTTACTTGTTGAAATTTATTATTTTACAGTTTTGAATTTGCTGAAATTTATTGAAATGAACATTTAAATGTATAAATATGTAATGAATTTTTATACATAAATTTATGTTAATCACTATACACTATGTGTAAATAAAATATAAGAGAGATGTTTATTTAAATAAACTAAATCAATAATATTTAAATGGAGCTGATAGTGATGTAAATATACGTCATCCCTGACAACTTGTACATAGTGAATGATCAGGAACTTGTGTTCTTAGCCATATCTGAGAAAACTAGCTGGATCTTGAGTTGCTGACAGTAGAAATAGATTTAATTGTGTTGCTCAGAATTCATCTTTTTCTGACTTAGTAATTCAAAATAACTCCCTGAATTATGGTACAGTACAGGAAAATTTCTCCCATGCTCGCAGGCGGGCAGTTCCAGCATACAGTACAGTACTGTAATGTATACTGTATTGTACTGTACTGTACTTGCATGTTGAGGAACTGGAAGTGAAGTCAGATATTCTGGGTTTATATTTAACAGCACTGACAGAGGAGAAGTAGAAATAGAAAACTAATGTATTGTAAGAGAGAGATGAGTGTTGGGGGAGGTAGAAGTTAGATGTGGAATATACATGAAGCTTGCATGAAGGCACCCAATAGATTGACCATTCTGTATGACTGTGAATCTATACACTTTCCAAAGCAAAGAATACACCAAGATTGAGAGCAGTAGCTATAAGAGATTTATACAGTATTATAGAAGTTAAGAAGCTTGGTAAGGTAAAGTATGGTGGTAGGAGAAATATTTGTGGAATTGAAACCCTTTGAGAAATGAATGGGTTAAGAGACTATGAATATGTGAAGCTCAAATGTTGATGTCTAGGTTGATACAGTTGATTTAATGCACATCAGGTGGTAGACTATGCAAGAGAGAATACAGTCAAGTGATATACATGGAACGGAATCGTCGTGGATTAAGATGGAACAGTGAAATGAGGTTAAGGAGTGAATGGGGATAGAAGGATGAATGAAATTGGTGAATGAATCAGCTAAATGGGTAAATGAAATAGTTGTGAAGAGATGAGATAAAGTTATGTATATGTCCTTAACAACTTTTTTTGTTTTTCTCTGAGTTGAGGAATTATTGAACTATTTCAACTTTGTGAATTATTTTTCTTGTAAACTGCTTCCCTTTTTTGAGGTAGGCTGGACCTGTGCCTCTCCGTGTACTTGCATTATGTACGTAGTTGATGGCTGTATGGGTTTTGTCAGTGATTTATTGACACATTTAGTCCTCCCGGTGATTTATTAGCTGTAGGGATTATTCCGGTGATTTGATATCGTATGGATTTTTCCCGGTGATTCATTGTCTTAATTTATCTTATCTGCTATGTGTCATTAATAAGTATAATGTACATAACTCTTTACCGTTCCCCAGGAGACTGCAGACATCTTAAACCTCGTAAATGAACTTAAAAAAAAACAAAAAACAAAATATCAACTCTTAATCCTCTTGTCGTTAGTTTAAGAAAGCTACTTTATATGTGATATTTCTGTTTCCAGTTTCCTGTCTACATTGATTATCGACTATTGTCATTCCTGTTATGTTTTTTTCACCTTATGTATTCTCAAAATTTCTTAAGTATTTCTATGTATTTCTCTAATGTGGATTTGTTGGATTCATACTGTATTTTTTTCTTGACAAGTCATTTTCTTTAGAGATTTGTAAAGAGTGAAGGGAGAAGCCTTTATTGTACTCTGAGGATAGTCCAACATTTCTTCAACACACACACTCTGCCTCCAACACACACTCTGCCATCCAACACACACACTCTGCCATCCAACACACACACTCTGCCATCCAACACACACACTCTGCCATCAAACACACACTCTGCCATCCAACACACACACTGCCATCAAACACACACTCTGCCATCCAACACACACTTTGCCATCCAACACACACACTGCCATCAAACACACAAGCATTTCTACAGGTGTTTCGTAAATTCCTTTTCTTACAAATACTTCAACAAACCTTAACATCTCCAATAAATATTCATCAGGTTGGTATTACATCTACAACTGTCCTCTTATTACATGTACAGTATATCTATAATGGGTAATCTAATGGGTACAGTGCAGCCCTTCTACATGTACAGTGCTGTCCTACAATCCTCCAACAATGTATCTCTAACAGTTGTCACACTTACCTCCAACATGACAGTATCTATCCAAAATATCCCTCATCAGTTCACCTAAAACATGTCCACTTATCTTACAAGTTCTCATAAATTACTTCATATCTCAGCAAGCTCCTCAACACATTAATAAACTTCTTTTCCTACCGTTTTACTTCTCCTTATATAGAGAGCATAAAATTAAACCAAGACGTTTTCATTAACATTCCAATAAGTCATTTTTATCTCCAACTCAACTCCAACATTTCTCCAAGACTCCTCAAATCCCATTTTTATCACATATCTTGCTTCTCAGTATGTCTCCAAAACTAACACTAACAATTTATTAATGATTTGGTACTAATTAAAAAGTCTTTCATCAACGATATTTAAAAATCAATCCATCAGTTTTTTGTCTTTTTCAATGTTTACCACAAATTTAATACCGTTTTTTCACCTCCCTCCAACACTTAGTACTTGTTCAGTACTGTTCCATCACTGCTTTACTGTCTCTATATCTCTTTGTTTTGAATAGAATATATCCACATTACTTTAATATATTATAATAGAGAAACCAAATTCTCATCTTAAACAATCTTAATTTTCCTGCTGGTAGCTTGGAAGATTCTTGAACTAACTTGTGCTTGGGTGAGCTGATTTAGTAAAGCAAGGGGTGACTATGGGCATTTCTACTCCGTTCACTCCAAGCTTACAACTGGGCCAAATCAAAGGGAGCGCAGGGCTAGTGAAATAACAGCAAACGCCGCTGATCATCTTTGCTTTTTCTTTTTCGCTTTAAGATATTGAAATTATCTATGTTTCTCTTGCTAATTTTTATATACCCAGCTTTGGATAGCTTTCTAGATCAACACTTAATACAGGTAGTATTTGCAATTACAGAATATAAAGAGAATAATTTAATATTGAAGAGTTCTAGATTAACCTAACACACCTTATTCTTTAAGCTGCATTGATCAAATCTTCTCTTGGAACATTAGATATAGAGTACAGTATTCTGTTCTTCTTAAAAGTTCTTTATGTGATACAGTTTTGATATATTAGTCATGAAATGATTTTTCTTGATGACACAATAATGACAACACAAAAGAAACACAATGTAGGTGAGGCGGCAGAACTTGTATGGTCCTAGAGATTATGGTCTATTAACTTGTAGCCAAGTATGGTACTGTACTGTACTGTACTGTATTCAGTATTCAAATTTAAAATTAATGTTTTTCATATTTACAAAAGTTTTAAATCAAAAGTTTTTCAGATGGTTTGTGAAGAATGAGACTTTTTTAGCGGAAGATCTTGATATTTCTTAGAATCATGTGGTACAAGTATATAATTGTTCTAACATTTTACTATTATCTGTCTACTTGCCAGTACAGTACAATTGTATACTAGTGTTAGACAAGAGACATAGAACTTTAACTGTGTCACGTAATGTATTTATGACCACAATTAATACATACTGTACCTATATTATTGAAAATGGGTGACTTATTATCTCCTGCTTTTAAAAAAATTAATATTAATACAAAGATTGTGACTCAGAAAATTACGCAGTATAAATAATGAAAAAGTAATGTATTAAATATTTTTATTATTAGTTTTATTGTTATTTTACATACCCGTACTGAGAAAGAAGACAGCTATCATCACACGTACTAAAAACCATGAATCATTTTCTGGTCATATTTGTGTACAGTGTGTTTGTGGCTCATGGGATATCCTGACAATTGGTAAACTCTTAAGCATGAAAAAATATGTACTGTCACCCACAAAAGTCCTGTGACACCTCTCCTCCTGAACCATGAACCCCAAGATTCAGACTCATGAATCTGAAGCATTTATGGACGGGATAATGCATTGGTGTCTACTGCTTCGGGTTTACGAGTCTGAATCTTGGGGTTCATGGTTCAGGAGTAGAGGTGTCACAGGACTTTGGTGGGTGACTGTACATAAATTTTATTCTCAACTGCTCCTCCCCATCCAGAATGTTGATTGTCTTTTGACTCGCTGTAAGTCACCCACGGAAATGTAACTTTCTGGCGGCAGCTGTTGTTTAACCTCCTCAGCATCTGTTTCTCTGATGCTGTTTATTCATTTGGCACATGCATGTTCTGGCCACCTCTAGGTACACATCCTCGGAATATAATGCAGCGGTCAAAGTCTATTTAATTGTTTATGGTTCACTTATTCTGTCTCTGCTTCTTACTTTCTTACTTTTCCTTCACTTACGATATTTCAACTATCATGCATAATCTTCAGTGAGCAGAGGATGATATATGGTCTCTGTTAAAGTGAGTGTGTGGAGGTGGCTCGGTAATCATACTTGATATATGGAGCTGGCTGATTGATCATACTTGATATACAGAGGCGGCTCAGTAATCATACTTGATATACAGAGGTGGCTCGGTAATCATGCGTGATATATGGAAGTGACGGAATCCTAACATTTGATATATGACTGTGGAGATGACCGGATTGACTGTGTGGAGTGACTGCTATGGGGGGAGGTGCCTGGTGGGACTCCTACTACTGTGTATGGGAGTTCTTAACATAGCATAGGTAGATAGAAAGTTCCTTTGAAGTATTAGATGTATTCTAGAGCTATATGTTATTTATGCCATTATTTGATACAGTATATATATGTGAAAGAATTTTTTGTTTCATAAGTATAAGCTTGTATGACTTACTGTATAACTGCAAATATGTTCAAAGTGTTTCAACCAATTAAATTTACCAAATACTGTATATTTATGTACACATTTGCATATGTCATATATTTATATTCATACATGCATATTCAGTGTTTTTTACACACACACACACACACACACAGTTCATCAATATGTACTGTAATATTTCTATGTAATCATACATATAATTACTTTTGTGTGACAGATGATTTTATGAGTACTGTACTTAAGGTGATTGGCACTAATGATATTTAGTTGTTTCTTTGATTTGTGGAACTGTAATACAGTAGTTGTCTGTATTGTTCTCTTGTTGAACTTGAATCATTCGTCAAAATAATTTATTTATAAATAAATTAGTGTTATAATGTACAGTAGTTATGAACCACAGGAAGAAGTGATCATTTTAAGTATTGTCATCATTCACTCTCAACTGTGTGAAAATAATTACACATTGATATGTCTGGGGATGTTCTGCTGTACTGTGAGAGGTGACCCATCATGTGATGAGTTAGGTGTGATGCCACACTTTGTAAAATAATCCAAGTGGCTGTTACTTGATTGTTAATGTACGTTTATATGAAATTAATACAGTATAGTATACTGTAGTATAATGTACTGTAGTGTATTCAGCACAGTTCACTCACACTGGGGAGAGATGATATTGAAAACTTTTAGACTTCATAGAAAAGATTAAAAGTTCATATACAGGTATTATCACTTCAGTGAAAGCAGAGGCTTCTTATCACCAAAATGATGTTTTAAATCTCAAATATTATACAATAATCAGAAGTTCACAATGATTTAAATGTTTAATTTTTATATGAATAAATAAATTTAAGAGTGTATGTTACCATGTCTGTGTACAGTGACCCCTCGGTTAACGAACTCAATCCGTTCCAGAAGGTCGTTCGTCAACCGAAAAGTTCGTTAACTGAAACCATTGTTTCAATGGGTTTTTGGGTAATTGGTTCCAGCTCACCGAAAATTTCCTAAATTCAACAAAAATGGTAGAAAAGTACACTTACTTTGAGGTGTGTATGTAGAAGGCTCCTGGATGATGATGATGATGATGGGAATTAGAATGGGGGTGGAGGAGAAGGAAGAAGAAAAGGCATTGGGGTGGAAGAGAAGTCACCCCATGGCACCATTTCATCCATAAAATTTTAGTTCTCTTGGTGTATTTCAAGATTATTTTCTTTAAATCAACACTGCACTGCATTATATATTGTCAATATGTAAAATATATTTCAAAATGACCAATAATTTGTTTGGAAACACAGAAAAAAAAGCATTTAGTTGAAGAGAGTCTCAAGCAAGATGTTACCTCCACTGAAAACAGAGAGGGAGACTAACGCCTGTCTGGTGTGTTGACAGGCTGGATGGCACGCCAGAAACTAGTTTCTTTACCTTCAATTATGTTCAATAATTGTTAAAATGACTAAAAAAGTTAATATTAAACTTTTAAAATTATTGAATAGTATAAACTTCTTGATATTTACTTAAATAGTAAGGAATTTAAGCCCTAGAACCGATTAATGTATTGGCGGACTGATACTAAAGCTGGTTGGCCGGTCAGTGCAAGCGAAAACATGTTGAGGTCGGTTCGTAAGAAATTCGTTAACCGAATTTTTGTTCGTTAACCGAATTGAAGATCCTTATGGAAGGCAGTTCGTTAACCGAAATTTCGTTAACCGAGGCGTTCGTTAAACGAGGGGTCACTGTATACACATGTAGGAATGTGCATTGAAATGTTAGTGTATGAGTGTGGTCCTTTATGTGTGATGACTTAAATGTACTTGCATGTGTATTTGCATGATTGTGTGTGTATGTGTGTAAAACTGTGTATATATTTTGATTTAGAAAGTATTTGCTTAAAGTACATACAGTACATTACTTATATATACAAGCTTTTATACTGACAAACCATTCATGTATCACTACAG